CTGTCTGGATGGATTGATATGTTTGAGCCGCAAGAAAAACAAAAGAGCAGCTCATCAGCGCCTACGTCATCAGAACGGTGCTGTATCGATAAAGACTGCCATCCTACGTATTCATGGAAAAATTGCACGAAAACCCCTGAATTGATGACTATTAATTTGACCCTGAAACAGTCCCCGTTTTTAATTTATCCGGAGAATTTGGAATATTTGACTCCTTAATTCAAAGTCTGTCATATCCCCGCAAAAAAAAAAAAAGTCGATCTGTCCGTTTACTGAATCATTGCAATTGCAAACTGTCCTAGATCAAAAGGCATTTGTGCTCATCTCGGAAAATTAGAAAGAATTTGAATGCGTTTGTGTTAATTTCTATGGTTTTTCTTCTAGCAGAACAGCATCTAAACTGTGTTTTGTCATGAAGTTGCATTTGGCTAGCTAATTGATGAGCTAAACATGAACCACAGGAATTGAATAGCCCCAAAATGTGTGTCACCCATGACGCATAGACGCATATATCAAACTTTGTTTTGCAGGCATATGGCAGTCTCCAGAAACACCCAAAATATAGCAATTCTCCCCCTTTCCCTAGAAGACATATGGCATACTGTACTCCTTTAATTAATTAACCCACTATTAGCTAGGGACGAACTGCATTTGCAGTTTTTCACACGGTATCATTTATGCATCATCATAATCAATTTATGTCTCAGTTACAACAATAACAATCAACAAATAGTAGGTGAAACCTCACGCGCGCTTTATACTGGAATTTAGTATGATAGACTAAGTAAAAGTAATGTGTATAAGATAGTTAAACAATATAAACTTACATAGGTTGACATGATTTATGATAATTTAAAATTAAATATTATATAGAATGATGATTCAAATATAAAAGTAAGTTCATATGGCTTTATGGGAGAGGAAAAGGATGGAGATAATTTGGATCATAGATTAATCATCTAAAGACAAAAGCAATTGAGGTGATATGACTTAATAAGAAAATAAAAGATTTGTACCATAGTTATCTAAGGACAAAATAATTAATGTGATATTGCTTAGTGAGAGGAGAGAGAGAGAGCGCGCGCATTAAGTAAGTTAAGAGTTAGGATGAACTATATAAATATATAAGATATTATAAATGAAGAGACATATTGAAATATTATGTGAATTATGTGAGATAATGAATTAACATGTTTGTATTTGAAAGGTTCTAAAATTTAAAAATTATAATATAATACGCTTGCATGATGTTTAAATGTATAATAATGGTTAGTGGATGATGATGTACAGTATCTTTACGTATTAAGTTTTAAGATATAGTGGGGGTAAGAGAGGATAACCTTCTCTCTCGGCGATGTTAAGTACACGACTTTTTCCTCGCAAAAAAAAAAGTACACGACTTTTAAGTTAAACAAATGACCCTTTGACCATTATTTCTTCCGATCTGTATCTACTCTACCGATTTGACATTATTTTTTTAGGGTATGTAGTCCACGTGACGAAGCTTTGACCCCTTTTTTTTCATTTTTTTTCTACATGAAGATATGCTAATAAAACTAGTATAATGTTATCATAGTATTACAATCCATTTTACAGCCCTCAAATTTCACAAAACTAACCCTGAATATAAAAACAAACACCGTTGAACTGTTTCAGTTCCAAACTTTCAAATTAAAATTGCTCACTTTTTAACTTCACAATAAATTTAAGTGCTTTTGTGTGAGTGTGTGATGCGCATGCGGCGATGTTACGTAAGTCAAAGAATTTTGTAATTTTTATAACAGGTAAATGACTTTAAATATTATTAAAACTTCTTATGTTTGTCATCAGTGGTCGATCCAGAAAATCGATTCGTTGGTGTCAGAACGCGTTTATCGGTGTCATAGTATGCTAATTATATTTAGATCATGGTGTTATAGCATATGAATAAGCAGTTTCGCTATAGATTTTACCGAAAGTCGTCGGTGTCGCCTGACACCGGCCCTATAACTATAGATCCGCCCCTGTTTGTCATTTGTAATCCAAATAAATTCCCCTCAAGGAAAATAAAGTATAATTATTTTTATAATTGGTCCACAGAAAATAATTTTTGCATGTAAACAAAATCATTACCGTGGACCAAAATATATGTAGCTAGGTTCCAAAAAGTACAATGTGAAACTAACATATTTGAATAATATTTTAGTTCAGTTACGAATTTTTGAAATTCATACGAACAGCCCATGGATGAAATCACATTTTAATTTTGACAAATATTAATTAGTTCAAACAATTCTATAGAAATTCTCGACTACATATTTGCATGTTTTGAGACCTAGTACCTCTGTAAGTATGTATTTATTTAAATATGACACCATTAACTTTATTTAATATTTGTAATGTAACTTTGACTCTACTTTTCTATCAATAGTGTTTTTTTAAAAAATATATAATTCTGTAAAAGTACTTATAAAAAATCCACCTATATGATTTTTTTATGTTTTCATACCAAATATTTTGAGATCTATCTATGATCGAATAAAGTTAATAGTGTGATATATTCAAATATGGAGGGAGTATATATATATATATATATATGGGTTCTGTTTCTTAGCAAAGTTTGTCATGTGTATAAAGATGATTATGTACAAAATTTAAAACTATTCTTCTGCTGGCCGATTATTATTTATTTAGATGGCTGGTGCAAAGTCAATGGTATAGATTTTAATCCGTAATTTTAATGATGTACACATCAAGTGATTTTAATCCGTTTACTAATTTTTAAATTCTAAAAATATTCCGAGCTCAAATTAAACACATCACCATGTCAAAGCCAGACCATCTACATCCACATTGATCTGATCAGGGTTGAAAAATACCTGGTATTATTAAAAGCTGCTGAATAGTACTAGCATCCAGTTGTGAAGCTGCTCGGTTAATTAATTTTCATACTATCACTAATATTATTCATGACTAAAATTAAATCAAAGCCTCTTGCCAAAAAAAATAAATCAAATAAACGTAGTAAAGCCGCCCTACTATTTTTTCCCAGCAAAAAGAGTATATATATGACGTTATGTGATTAATGAATGTCTCGATCGGATCAAAGGCCCTTTGACCATCACCACCCCATTTTATATGGAGCCCTGTTTTTTTTTAAAAAACCTGTTTAGATTTCAACTTTTTTTTCAATAAACTTTTAACTTTTCCGTCACATCGAATTTTTCTACACACACAAATTTTCAAATTTTTCATCACAACCTTCTAATTTCTTTAAACTTTTAATTTTAACGTGAAACTAAACACAGCCTAACTGTATATATGCTCTGCACAGCCCTGCAGCTACCATCATTCAACCGATCCAACACTAGGGACGGACGGACGACTCTTCTCCGTTGCTTTCATTTCATGCCGCGCTGCCAACCACCAAATCCGAACCCAAATTAAACCACATTCTCACACTCACACTCTCTTTCCTACCTCTGCAATTCCATTTCCATATCGCCATTAAATTTGCAGTTGTTGGTGCCTGCCTGCACGAAGAAACTGAAGATAAAAAAAAAATAAGGGGAAAAAATGTGTATGCATGCATGAAGGCAGACGCACGAGGGCGGACGAATGGGATGCATGCATTCACCCATATTCTGACCATTTCTTGTTTGATTTTGAACTTTTCCATCTTCCACTATGCATGGTAGGTCATGGTCCAGGGGCACTAAGAGCATGTACAATAGCAGGCTATGAGCCAGCTGCAAACATATTTTAAGAAGATAAATCAAGAGAGAGAAGAGCAGCGGGCTACAGATTTATAGCCAGCTGTAGCACGGACTCCAAGACGCAGTGTGTCTATGACGGGTGGGACTAGATATTAATAGTGTAGTATATAACTATTGTATAAATGAGCTATTAGATTGGCTATAGATGAATTGGAGCTAGTAGTTGGCTATACTATTGAACTTGCTCTTAATGTCTATGCATTTATTCATGAATTCATTCATGCCAATTTGGGGCTTTTTATATGTAAAGCTAGTTACACATAGGGGATGACTGAGACTGGTGTGGCACATTTTGGAATGCCAGGGTAGGGCTGCTGCCCTTTTTTATCTTGTTTAAATTTGGGCATAGTTGGTTAGGCATGTAGTGGTACCACACAACACTACAAGTGATGGAAATAAATTGGAAAAAAAAATGACAGGTTACTGTCCTGTTTGGATCCCTAACGCTTGATTTTTTTTTTCTGAAACAGATGAGGTCAACTTTGTTCGGCATGAAATCCTTATAGGTTTAGTAATGCGGCGAAGCGATCGACTCAAGTTTGTGGTGAGTCGAAAATGCTCCATACAAATTGGACCCCCTAGTGGTTGATAGAGAGCGAGAAAGAATAAATATTTCTTTCAAAATTATGATGCGAAATCTTAACTCTGTATGTTTATTCTTAACTAGTTAAATATAGAGTAAAACTTAATATGGTAGCAAAGCCAGTGGATCCTTTATTTAGCACCGTAACACAACTCTATTCAATCCACATTTTTTTTAAAAAAAAATAAAATATTATAAGATGTATATGTCTGAATTTTTCTCAACTTAGATTAATTTCTCATTTTAAAACAGCCATCATTCTTTTCCATTTCTTCTGACAGCTAGCTGTGACATCCTAAGAAAATTTACTCATTTATATTCTAAAAAAATGTTTGTTTTAGGGCTTACAAATTTTCATGTGAGTACCACAAAACCATCAGTAAATTACTATTTTGTACTGCAAGGGCGTTAGTAGAATTTTTTTTTTAAAAAAATTAATTCAGGATAGTTGGAGTGCTAATTCTCAAGCACTTTTAGTCAAAAAAAAAAAAAATTTCTCAAGCACTCCCTGAAAATGAGGGTCACGGTGCAAAAGAGACGCTTGACAAGGTGCAAAGTGTAAACTGAAGGAACGTTCAACCGGTTGAAAGCTCTGAAGTGACCCAAAGTCACAAAAGAAACTTGAGGTTTCTTGGGCAAAACTCTCAAACCAAAAAAACCCCGAATTTCTCGGATTTATGGGACCCACTCCATAAGTGGCTGCTCTAGATTTCGGTATATATATTAGAGGGAGCAGTGACCCAACCTGATGTGTTCATCAACAACCGTAGCCACATCGCGTTCCAAAACAAATTTCAGAGAATTATCTCAGCTCTCAGAACCTTCGGCTCTTCTTTGATCTTTCTCTGTCCCTTTGGGAGAAGAAGAACTCCGTTCTTGCTTGCGGTGGCTAATTTCAGACAATCAGGTGAGGAGCTTGGTGTTGCCTCTTTTGCTTCTGGCAAATTTTGATCCAAATCTTCTGTTCTTGGGCTGGGATTCTTGCTGTGGATTAGAATTGGTCTAGGATGTGCTGCTGGATGCAGAGTTCCCCAGTCAAAATGTTGGTCTTTGATGCCATTATGAAAATCTATCAACTTTCGCAGTGCTTGATGTGATGCACACCAAATTTCTTATCAAATCTATTTGCCTCTTCTTGGTTTTCTCTTTCTTGAAGAACAGCAAAAGTCTATGCGTTTATGGAAACTTTGTTCTGATGCCTTCCTGCTGTTCAATTCTGAAGAGCTGTTCTTAGTTTGCACCTTCTTGAGTTTCCCCTGTTTTTCCTCAAGGTAAGTTCAGAGTACCAAAGAATTGGGCAAAAGAAAAAGATAGAGAGTTGCTGATTCTTCTGGTCTCTTGGATTCTGTTCAGCTGGATATAATGCAGGCAACTGTGAACGTTTTTTGTGGTGTTGAATGCAGCAATCCTGATTGAAAATAAAAAAAGAGAAGCAACTGTGCTGTAAAAGTGCATGTTTAAAAGGCATGGCTGCTACTAACTCGCAATCAACTTTTTTTTAGTGCTGATGTAGTGCTAGTTGCAGCAAATGCATGAACATCGATTTGGTCTTGAGTCATTTGTGCCGGCTACCGGTTGTTACTTAGTGTTTGGTTCTTCTCTCTGACTTTGACCATATCACAGCGAGCTGAATTATTCGTCTTCTCTCTTTCTTTGTGAGTTGTTTCTGATGACTGTTTCAGCTGAAATCTAATTTGGATATTGATTTTTCCATTGGCAGAGCAGAAGATTTCAGTTGTATGGGATTGCATCAGCATGCATGGGGTGAAGTTGGCATCGAGATCTTCAGCCCAAGGTCCAAGCATATAGCCATGGTGAACAAAATCTCACCCTGGGATCAACAAGAGAAGATGGCCTTGAGAAGTAATGGAGCATTGGTGAAGTCACTGAGCTTCAAAGAATGGGAAGGAGGTGAACAAACCAAAACAAATTCAGTGAACCACAAGAACAGGCCGAGCCTGATCAACGTCGTCGTCGACAACCGGAGAAATTCAGACATTTTCATGGCAGAATCAAGCCCCATAGTGTCTTCCAGCCCCAAATGTGAGCTTGATGCTGCAGCAGTGAAGGTTCAGAAGGTGTACAAGAGCTACCGGACGCGGCGAAACCTCGCCGATTGCGCGGTCGTCGTCGAGGAGCTATGGTACACATCATCTTTCTTCAGTTAATCTTGAGCATTAGAACAGTTAAAATTCTTTGTGTTAAGAAGTTCAGAGTTTTTTTTCTTAACTGTAGTGTTCTTGGTTCAGGTGGAAAGCATTGGACTTTGCATCGCTGAAGCACAGCTCTATATCATTCTTCAATGGCGAAAAGCCCGAAACCGCGGCGTCGCGGTGGGCAAGAGCAAGAACAAGAGCAGCCAAGGTACTGAATTTTTTATAATCTATTTACAGTTGTTCATCGTCAGTCCAAAAATGCTCTTCAGATGCCGGCTGTTTCTCATCGAAATTGCAGCTGATGATGCAATTACCTTTGGTCTGATTAGGTTGGAAAGGGGTTATCGAAGAACGGGAAGGCTCAGAAGCTGGCATTGCAGCACTGGCTCGAAGCTGTAAGTCACATGCCTCTTAATTCTGTCACTAAACTATGATCCAGTGAGATTGTTGCTGGTGTTAGTTTACTAATCCTGCCGTTTCCTTGTGCTTGGACAGATTGATCCGAGGCATCGATATGGCCACAATTTGCATATTTATTATGGTGTCTGGTCCAGGAGTGAGAGTACAGAGCCATTCTTTTATTGGTAAATAACCTGAAAATATTCTGCCTAGTATACATAGCCTAATACTTTGTGTTCACTTGAAGCCTCTGACTAATAACAATGTGGTAATTTTTATACATGTTGATTAACAGGTTGGACATTGGGGAGGGCAAAGAAGTAAATCTTGACAGGTGTCCTAGGAACAAGCTTCAGAGCCAGTGCGTCAAGTACCTTGGACCAGTATGTTCCTCAACCCTAGCAAATATGAACAAAATGATTCAAAATTCAGTAAACTGAATAAGTGAAATCGTGTACTAAATATGTTTTGAATTTTGCAGAAAGAGAGGCAGGAGTATGAGGTTGTTGTGGAGAGTGGCAGGCTTGTTTACAAACAGTCTGGAGTTTTTGTCCACACTTCAGATGATTCCAAGTGGATCTTTGTCCTCAGCACAACCAAGGCATTGTATGTTGGCCAGGTAACTGAAAAATTTCCAGCTCATTTCCCAGCAAATCTGTATTCACACCGACACGCGGATAAGCCGCGATATCGGTGCCAATTTCCATATCATGTTGGTACAATTCTCTGAATTTGTTCCGAAATTTTGACTCTGGTGCAGAAGAAGAAAGGGTCATTTCAGCACTCCAGCTTTCTGGCTGGTGGAGCAATCACATCTGCTGGGAGATTAGTGGTCAAAGACGGAATCCTCAAGGTTTGTTCATATAGAGAAGAAGAGCATTATGAGTTTAATTAAAGAAACAATTTTTGTCTGAATAATTGATGATGGTGTTGTGATGTTTCTTCAGGCAATCTGGCCTTACAGTGGTCACTACCTCCCAACCGAGGAGAATTTCAGAGAGTTCATCAGCTACCTTCAGGAGAACGGCGTCGACCTTGCCGATGTCAAGGTAAATGTAAGAAAATTCTCAACCCCAACATGATCATCTTTTCATCAGATTAGCACAAATTATTACTATCTCCATGCGTTCTAATACTACGAATTTAGACATGCAAAATGTTCAGATTTATAGTATAAGAAAATGTCATATTCAGTTCTAAATTCTTATATTTTATAAAGAAAGATTTTTAATTAATTAATTAACTAACTGGATGTGAAATGCTTTGCTTTCTTTCAGAGATGTCCCATGGACAAAGACGACGAGTACCCATTGCTGACAAAGCCTGACGTCACCGCCGCCTCCATTGCCGCCACCAAGAACGTCGAGAAGGTCGCCGCCGCCACCGCAGCCGCAGCCGAGCGGCTGACCGAGACCGTCTCCGACGACACGGACCACGCCGCCGTCGACGAAGACGGCAGCATGAGCGAAGGCGAGGACGAAGACGCCGACGTCCCAACGGCAACCAAAGAAGACGAGCACAAGGCGACCTCCTCGTCGGCGGCGAGCACCACCGCCGCCGCCGCCGCCGCAGAGAACCACCTGCCGTGCAGGTGGTCGACGGGGACGGGGCCGAGGATCCGGTGCGTGCGCGACTACCCGCAGGACCTGCAGTCGAGGGCGCTGGAGCACGTCAACCTGTCGCCGCGCCTCGCCGCCGCCGGGGTGGCGCCGGCGACGAGGAAGAGGGACCCGGTGCCGTCGCCGCGGCCGAGCCCCGGGATGATACTGTCGCCGCGGCTGGCCTCCGTGGGCTTCCGGCCGCCGGTGGTGGCGCTCACGCTGCCGGACTTCAAGAGGAGCAGATTGCAGTGACACTGAAACGAAATTTTTTGGTTAATTTTTTTTAGTAGTTTAGTTTAGCTGATGATGAACAGGTTTAGAGTAATAACAGCTGGTCCAGAAATTTTGTGAGGGAAGGACAGTGATTCTTTGCTGCTAGGGAGAATTCAGATTAGTTGATTTTTTTTTTTTTGGTTCTTCAGTTGTTGTAGATGATTCAGATTGTACAATTTGTCAGATTTGTTCGTATTTTCATTTTATTCTTTTGTTAGATGTACACAAGGAATTCGTTTTTGAGAAGAGAAAGAAACAAAGATGAGGAATTTCTTTTGCTGCAGTTCAGGACATGAGCAAAAGCATTACTCTGATCCTAACCTTGTCATATATGGATATAGATGATCGATTGTGATAAAGTATTTTTTTTGGAATACGCAAAAGATTTATGTAAAATTGGAAGAGAAACAAATCTCAATGAACGGCGGAAAGAAGCTAAAAAAAGCCATGAACCTTGCCTACTTGACACGTGGATCCGCCCTCATGGTTTAGGTCTTAACACATGCTTTGAGACCTCTACAGGGCCCATCAACTTCACACATGTTTAGAGTTTTGACAAAGGGGTGATCGAGTGTTTTTTTTACACCAACTGAAAATTCACTCATGAAAGGGAGTCGAACCCAAGAGCTGGTAGGTGCTATAATGTTACACTAAGGAAAATAAAGTTGGTAGAGCGATTGTCATATCTAGTACATAAAATAGTCTGGATACATCTTGATGTAGAGGCTGGATCGATTTACATTATTGGAAAAAAAAATCTTGTAAGTGAAATACAGAGATGTTCTTGGTAGCAAAAGAAAATGTACATACTTCTAAGTGAAGGGACAGTGCTGGAGATTTTCTTTTACTTTGTATTTTATTTTCCTTTCCTAATGTACATGTCTCCAGTGAATTGCCGATCAGAGTGAAGTTTGAAACTGTCTCAAGATTTGAATACATCATATGTACGATAGTCATGGCCATTGAATTGAAGTACGAGCCATTTTCTTCTTCTGTTTGTTGACGATTTCGGTCAACAGTTCAACACCCTCAGGACCGGTGAGCCGACGGCCTTCCTGAGCTGCCGCTTATCTCTCGACTTGTTCAGAATTTCAGTCCAGTTCAGAGGCTGCTAAACGTTTGACTACTTCTGCAGCCGACCCAATTTCATTTTTTGCAAAAACCTGGTCAGAAAAAAACCTGTACGAGATTTGAAACTGTCTCATGAACATAAAAAGTCTGAAAAAGACTTTGGTTTTTTTTTTCAACAAATTCAACTTTGCTGTACAATTTGGTTAAATGAAATCCAAAGGGCGACTATGTATTGATGCATAGAGATGTACTTGCTGCCCAGTTGTCAAAATGTCATGTAGCTTTTGTTTGCTATCAAGATTCCATTTCTGCTCCGTCCCATCTTGGACATTTTGGTAGTACCAGTAGATGTCAGCATCCTTAGGTCTTATAGAAATGAAATGTGGAGATGCCGCAGATCACGTGTTAAACTCCGGATGGCTGCGAAATAATCCACAAAAAAGACTCGAAATTCATGTGGAGGAATTTAAAGTATGGGCATAAAAGCCCCCCATTACAATTTTAGGACCCTTGCAAAAACATTATTTGATATGTTGGGATGTTTTTCCCTCTTTCACCTGTGTGTTTAGTGGCGGATGCAGCTCCTGGGTAGGTTGAGCGACCGCTCAGGCTCCGCTGTTGCTGTCTCCATTACCGACTACTAAAAAAATATGTGTAAAAATTATTTGGTTTCCGTGACATGCTATTAGTTGCTCGGGCTCAATGACGATGATGCAGGCTCCGCCGCTGTGCGTGTCTTGGAAGACCTTTGGCCATAGTTTGCATTGTCTGGATTATATAGGATAAATGTTAGAAGAAAATGCATGAGAATGTTTTTTTTTTCCTTAAGGGCATGTGTTTTTTTTCTTGCATACGGAGTTAAGTAGTTATGATTTTTTTTATTAAAAAATAAAAAGAGGAGATAATCATATATATAGAGATGATTGTTACATATCCCTCAATACACCCTGAGCTGATGGACAAAGTACTTGTCTAAACTCGTAGCTAGAAATTAAATCTCCGTAGACAGAGGTACTTAAAAAAAACATATTGTGTTGTGAAAACTTGGGATTGACAATCTACTTGAGCTTGCCTGAAGTTTGTCATAATCATGAATAGCTTGAGACTTGAGACCTCAATAAGCAATGGCAGTATTAGCTGACTTATAATATGAAATGGAGGGAGTACATAAGCAATGGCAGCATTAAGTTGCCAGTGCTAACATAAATAACCAATCAATTAGTCAGTGGTGTTGCATTGGGCATCATTCACAAAAATCAACCACAAATATAAAATCAGAATCCATGAAGTGGCAATCACTTGTTGCTGAGTCTGTCATCATGTGCAAAATTGTGAGGCTATGTTGGGATGAAGTTCTGAATCAACGAATCTGTCGGAGGAAAGCAAAGAGCAACCACATATGGGATTTGTTTTGTCTTGAGCTAAGGACAATGAACGGACTTGTGGGCCTTCTGGGCCAAACAAAACAAGAACAGCTTCTAATAAGCATGTGTGGATTTACTTGTTTTATAGGTGACCTAAGAGATACGGGTGTGCGTGTATGCGTTCATAAGGATAAGTGTGCACATGTTGTGAGTGCCTGCGTTTATGTTGCGCTTGTAAAAAAAAAGGAAAAAATATTGCATAAACCGTTTCGATTGTCCCTCTTATTTTGTGAAATTCCAAGGGAAAAAAAAGCAATTTGTTGCAAAGGCCCACCCACCCAAACCCCTCTGTACACGTGAATAGAAGAGCTAGCGCATTTTCACCTAAGTGTAACCTCAGAAAGCAAGATCAACTGGTCACATGGATGGATCCGATTCGATCCTGACCCTCAGAAAGTATTTGTTCGAAGCGAAAAGACGGTTAGAAACAACACGAGGGCTGAGGGGCGACGATTGACTGCGATCAAGCTTTGTTCTACCTAACGCGCGTGAAGGGGTTTCGGTGGGCAGGCATTTACGGCGAATTTTCATTTTTTTCTGGGGAGGGGTGGTCAAAACAAGAGTAACAATTGTGGGTGCCTTATGCAATTTTGCAAAAAAAAAAATATTTGCACATTTTTTAGAAGCACAGTATAAATGCAGATGTTCACGTGTACATGTACACGCTACCCCTATAAGCTCATATGAGAAATTGGACCAATATATCTTAAAATTTACGAAATCACCATGAACACTTTATTGTCGACGGGTATGTCCACCTACCACTAAAAGAATAATTAGCCATAAATACGATAGACACATGCTAAATCGAGGATTTGAAACCAAATGTCCAGATTAAAGAAAAGAGTTAACCATAATCAGCAAGATTTATACTACATGAGCTCCTGGCCAGCCTGGATTCCTTTCGTCAAAAGGACTTAAATTCGGAGCTGGTCTCTACCCAAAGATAAGCAATGTACTTTGGTAAGTCATTGCATTACCTTACTCCCTTTAGTCTTGTTTGGTGTAGTCATATGAAAAATGTGTACAATCAAATATTCTCTTGAACTTTAATTTAACGTCCACATGCATAAAAGGTTTGGCCAATCGATGAACTTAATTTGTTTGAGGCACTCAACAAAGTTTAGTCAAAATGATTAGTTCAAATTCTGAGATCGATGACCTGTTCATTTGCACCGGTGGAGCGAGTTCCATTGATTACATCCGATCCATGCATTTTTTTCCCTTTTTATATATATGGATGTATCTTGATTTATAAACAAACATAAGCTAATTTATAACTGTACTAACGGTTTTTTTGAAAATCCTTCTACTCCCTCCGTTTCTAAATATTTGACACCATTGACTTTTTAGCACATGTTTGGCCGCTCGTCTTATTAAAAACTCTTGTGAAAAATGTAAAACTATATGTATACATAAAAGTATATTTAACAATGAATCAAATGATAGGAAAAGAATTAATAATTATTTAAATTTTTTGAATAAGACGAATGGTCAAACATATTTAAAAAAAGTCAACGGCATCAAATATTTAGAAATGGAGGGAGTATATAGTATCGTCAGGAGGGTCCATGATCATAGTCTGTCTGTAAAATTCCTTTTCGGAGGTGGTCTAAATTGAACATCTCTAAAAAAGAACCACATTCCTGTTCATGTAGCTAAACGAACGCTCGTAAAAATCCATAAGCAGATATATTCTATCTCCCTCTCTCCTTCCACTCTTTCTCTCCTCTCCTCTCCTCTCTCCATCATGCCATGCATCCACCCATCCAGCACCGCCTCTCGCTTTCCTCCTCCTCCTCTCTCTATCTCTCTCTCGCGCGCGCGCTCGACGCCGCCAAAGTCCCTCCAGTGACTGTTTGCGCATCCCGGTTACCAAAGTCCTTAGGAGCGTAAGATCTAGCAGTTGCAGGCCTCAGGAGTGCTGGATCCGGTGGTGGTGGTCCTCAGGAGCAATGTATCTAGCATATCTCTTTGTGGAGGAGGACAGTGACAAGGGTTATGGCTTCGCAGCGGCAACGATTGTGGATTAGGTTCGGCGATGATAGCGATGGCTTAGCATGGAATAGGTAAGTGGCTTGCTATGGAGGAGGTCGGCGGTGATAGCCACGGCTCTGTGATGGTGAAGACAACAGAGGCTCGGGGTGCTACGATGATAACAATAAAGGTGGCTCAGGAAGGGGATGACCAAGCTGACAGTTGTGTGTGTGTGTTTTGTGAATTTCTGGAGTTTGGGGGAATTCTTTTGAATCTGAGCCTGAATTTGGGAAATTTCTATCAATGGTTTTTTTTATGGATTGTAAGCCATTGGTAGTCGTGTTAACTAGTCGCCTATAAAAAAATGATTTTTAGAGACAGTTGACTTAGATAGCCGCTTGAGGAAACACATCTTTACATGTAGCCGTCTTGATACACATCTATGAAAATGCATTCCATTGGTAGCGGGTTTCCCGCATGTGGAGATGGAACTTCCAGATGAAGTGATTCAATCGACCGCCTCTATAAACACATTTTATCCATCCGGAAAGATGGTTTCCGTAGTAGTGATAATATTGAAATATAGATACAACAATCATATTGGCCAGATCAGGCCACCTAGGATAAAAATAGGTGGAAAATTCCGTTAAAGATAAAGTGGACAAGAGATCTTCTACGAAAGTGAAGGAGAAATATGTTGCATGAGATACAAGTCTTAAAATACCTCAGCACAAAGCTACATATATATCATGTTATACATTGCAAGGTAAGCTACATCTCTCTATCATGCATGCCATATATGTGGAATTAATATACACATTCTTTTCTTTGAAGTGCATACGTTGTGAAGTGGATGGATCATGGAAGACTGTGAAAGAGAAAATAACCAAAAAAAAAACAACTTCATTTATTAAGTGAGCAAACTGCTATATAAAACAAATATATGATATGCATTAAAATGTACTCCACATATGCAGATTTTGTTTCCATTCTCCAATTATTCATGTGGGATTTATTTTCATCGGGATGTGTGGATTGATAGGTTCGGTGTGGTCCGCTGAAAGAGAAATAGTTCAATGTTAACTTCTTTAATAGAATTAAATTAGAGAGATTGTTTGATCTGTTAATAGTAACTTCGTATTCTTATCGGTTGATTATCTCCTAAGCCCTACCAGCGCATATACAAGAGAGAGAGGCACACGGGACGAAATTACTATTCCGCGACCCGTCGCACGCGCCCCTCTCCGCGGCGACTGGACACGTATCGCGTGTGTGGAGAGGGAGCGGCGGACGGCGCGCCGGCTCCCGGTTTTTCCTTTTTTTTTTTTCATTTCTCTTCTCGTTTGGTTTTTACCGTTTTTATTCCGTGACACTTCCGTTTTCGTTTTTTTTCTGAATTTTTTCTTACCGTAACTTCCGTTTTTGTTTTCTTTTTCTTTCCGTATTTTTTTTGTTTTAATACGTATGTATGCTAACTTTGTATATGTACAAATACAAACATTGTATACGCGTATTTTTTGGGTTTTGTACGTATGTATATCAATTTTGTATACACGTATATAAAGTTTGTATACATACATATACTAATTTTGTATACATGTATATAAAGTTTTTATGCATATATATAAAGTTTATATACGCGTATATTTTAGGTTTTTTATACGTACGCACACAAACTTTATGTATATGTGTATATTTTTTATACATTAAAGTGTGTGTATATATATATATACACACGTATGTATATACCACATATATACATATGTATAAACTTTGTATATATATGTATACATCTAGTAGTATATATAGTAGTAGTATAGAGTATAGACTAGAGGGGGGCAGCTGATCGCGCGCCGCGCCGCGCGCGTGACTAGTCACGTATCGGCGCCCCCCACACGGGGACGCTCGAAGCTTTTCGCCAAACAAAAACCTAAGTGCCCGATCAATTATTTACCGCTTGAAGGATTCGTACTGCTAAACCTAAAACGCATTAAGAAGAAAAGAAAAAAAAAGAAGTTGAGATCAATGGCTTCGCAGAATGGTCCATAAGTATGGATGAAAACGGATCGAATACGGTCGGAAACTAGCTCTATCATATTTGTTTTTATAATTTTTTCAGAATCGAAATCAGAATCGGAAACCCAGAAAAAAAAAGGGAATCGAATATTATTGAATACAACTACGAAGCGAAATAAATACGGTGACGAATATTTATCGGAAAATAAAAGCCCTCGCTGCTACCCAAACGATTTTTGTGTACGAGACCCTATGATTTTTGCAAACGGACCACAACTTGCGGCGTCGATATTTTCGCATACGACTCCTTAAGACGCCAAAATGAGCTCATTTTTCCATGCGGACCACTTAAGAACCCGCATGGAAAAATTATTTTTTCTATACGGGCATCTTAATGAGCCGTATGCGAAAATAAAATTTGAAACTAGTTTATCTCACTCATATGAACTCCAAATTGGATTATTCTTTTTCCTAAATATTTCTAAAATCATGCTATATCATGTTATTGTGTTTTTACTACTATTATTTGGCCATTATTTCTTGTGACTTTGTTTTATCAATTAAAAATTTGAATTTTAAAACTTCAAATGATATTTCGAAGCAGTAAATAATTTCAGCTGAAAAAGTCATGAACATAAAAGTTGTAGAACTCATCAAGACATACAACTTTTATTTTGGTCATTTCTTCATCCGACAAAATGATAGTAATATTGTTCACAAAATTTACATCTCTCTTATAGTTTATAAAACCAAATGAGAGATATGTAAATTTTATAAACAATGTTACTATCACTTTGTCGGATGAAGAAATAATAAAAATAAAAGTTATAGATCTTGATGAGTTATACAATTTGTTGTTAATGTCTTTTTCAAGTTGAAATCATTTAGTATTTGAAAATGTTGTTTGAAGTTGTCATATTTTTAAATTCAAATTCAAATCGTTCAAACAAAGTCATATAGAAAAATGACCAAAATAAAAGTCGTAGAACTTGATAAGTTATACAACTTTATTTTTGACAATTTTGCCATTTAAAATTATTTACTACCCAAAAAATTATTTGAATTTATTATATTTTAAAATTCAAATTTTATATAGTTCAATCAAACTCGGATGGAGAAATGACCAAAATAAAATTGGTAGATCTCAATGAGTTCTACAACTTTGTTTTTGATAACTTTTTCATATGAACTCATTTAGTATAATAAAATTCAATTTGAAATTTATTTTTGCCAAAAAAAATCTGATTTGGCTCCTCATGGGTTGGGCTGGCTTATGGGCTATGGCAGCCTTATGTGTAAGTCGGATATCCGATGGAAAATTTTGGATAATATTCCACGGATATCCGATTCCGACGGATATCACCTATATCATATTCGTTTTCATATAAAAAATATCCGAATTAGAAAATTTCCGGATATATCCAACCGAAACTATCCGAATCCAAAAAAAGGTCGGACCAGACGGAAATTATCCAAATCACTTTCAACCCTATCCGTAAGTAGATCAATTTCACAATTAGTACTGAAGCTGATCATGTTAGGCTAAAATTCAATTTATGTATTCAAACTCTAACTGGATGCTATATAATATAGCACGCGCTCCACGTGTGCATCTAACAACTCAATACAAAAATACAGCTAAATTCACATATATCATTCACTCCACATGCATCTTCCCAATCCTCAACTAAAATGACTACCACCTGCTTCAGAAAAAGGGTGTTCTTTACAGATAGATGCATCCACAGCTAGTGCCTGTACGTATCTGTTTTGGAACATTTTTTTTTTAAAAAAGTAATGACACATTTATATGATGAAAAAGACAACAGCTCCGGCCTTTGTTGAGTACGTTCGGGACGTACTCGATCGATTAAATAGTGTACATATTTATATTTATGTTCCATAGTTTTTCGGAGTCTCATATCATTATGAGTAAGGTGGAAAAGGATGCGGGCGGATAAGGATGATGGCGCTCATTATGTGGGATACCGTAGGTTAGTTTTTTCTGTATAGATTTATCTATCTATCAGGATTTATTGGTCAAATCTATCTATCTTTTACATCTGTTTCAAAATATTATTATCCTAAAGCTCTCCGTTCCCTTAAAAAAGAATTATTATCCATCTATCTATCAATCAGCTATGTTCCAAAAGTATAAGAGATTCTGCTATCTAGTGAAGGTACTCCCTCCATCCCAAAATATAAGGTATAACCACTTAGAGCAGGTACAATAGCAGGCTATAATTCAGCTATAAACGTATTTCAAAGATATAAAGGAAGAGAGAGAAGAGCAGCGGGCTATAGATCTGTAGCCAGCTGCAGCACGGACTCTAAGACGTAATATGTGTATGACAGGTGGGACCATATATTAATAATGTAGTAAGCAACTATTGTATGAATTGACTATTACATTGGCTATAGATGATTTGGAGCTAATAGTGCTATACTATTAAACTTGCTCTTAAAACACAAAAAAACACAAGACTAAGAAAACATTTAATCATCTTTTTGGTTGGATCACCTTGATACATGCAAGCAATGTGATTGGGAGGTTTGATAGTATATGATTTAAAACAAATCAATTTTATAGTACCAAGAGATGCTAATTAATGTATGCATGCATGCACGCTTTATATTATGAGACATGAGAAAAGAGTGGTTGTGCCTTATATTTTGTGATGGAGGGAGTAATATATATTATAGAGATAGTTTGAAAAGAAGGTACCACGTTACTCTAAAGGTTTAGAAATTATCATATTATAATTGGACAAAAAGAATATAGGTATTAGATCATGATGTGACTAAATTATAAGAGTACAACTGTGTGTATATAGAAACATAAGAAAAGAGTTCTATATTAGATTCCATCCCATTTTTAATATCTATAGTGTATGAAAATAGGAGCTAAGAGTTATATAACAGATTCAATATAACTAGCCCGTGCAAAATTGCGCACGAAAATCCTTTATGTGGAAAGTATGCTCAACATGTATGTAATCACGGGTACACAAGGATTGGAACCTTAGTATCCGTTTTTAATGCATGATGTCGTTAACTTTTAAGATACGTTTGATCATTTGTTTTATTATAAAAATTATATAATTATTATTTAATTTATTGTGACTTGATTTAAGCATGATTTAAATATTTTTATATTTAAAAATAAATAAATAAGATGAATTGTCAAATGTTGTTAAAAAAATCAATGACGTCATACATTAAAAAATAGAGGTAGTAGTTGATAGCTAGTAAAATAATGCCATACCTGTATACCACTATGACTTTACTTAAAAAAAGAATATTATCCACGTTTACTATCATTCGTGGACAAATATTTGGTCCAAGCAACGAAATTTTGACTTTGGATGGACAAATGCAAAATTTAGCATTTTGTTCGGACCCTAGTATGTAGTAGAGTATATTTTCTATTTCAAGAAGTCAGGAGCCACAGTGACGAACTGACGATTTCGCAATTGATCCGATTATTATTCCGTCACATATCAATTAATTAGAAAATTAATAAATATTACATTTACCACAAAGAGAGAAAATTAATTAAAGGATTTATTATCTAAAATCAAGAGCGGTGGACGATGAAGTTTGCCCTGATCTTGTCGACGGTGGCCTCGTCGGTGAGGAGCGTCTTGGCGACGAGGTCGACGGGGAGCGGCGCGGCGAGGAGGGCGTCGGCGACGAGCACCAGGCCGGGGTTCTGGCTGCTCAGCGACGCGTACAGCGCCGCCGGCTCGCTGCCGTTGTTGTGGAGGAAGTGGACGAGGCCCTGCGGCACGGCGAACACGTCGCCTCGCCGGAGCACCTTGGCCACGACGCGGCTGTCCGGGTACGACGTGACGAAGCCGAAGTAGACGGCGCCGGCGAGCACCACCGCCGTCTCCGACGCCCTCGGGTGGTAGTGCGGCGGGAAAACGCCGCCGGGGGCCACGTCGACGCGGGCGGCCGACGCGCCCAGCGTGTTCAGCCCCGGGATGTCCACCGACCGCGCCGTGAACCCGTACCGCCGGCTCGCCGTGGCGCCGCGCCCTCCCCCGGCCGCCGGCTCGCCGACGCCGGAGAAGAAGAAGTCGTCCGCCGTCACCGCCGCCGGGTCCTTGCACGGCAGCCCGTTCACCCGCACTGCGTCGGTCACAGATCGAACACGTACTCAATCCAAGCTCATGCATCGGCATGGCTGGCGCCATGGGAGACCGTACCTTTGGACGTCGGGTCGGCGACGCAGAAGTCCTGGAGAGGGTTGGGGTCAAAGGCGACGACGACGACGACGCCATGGCCGGCGGCGAGAGTAACAAGCAGCAGCAGCAGCAGCAGCGATCTCCCAACCATGGCCATGGCTACTCAGGTGATTATTTGCAATAGTTTGCAAAGAAGAAATGTTTCGAGAGATGCTGGTTGGAGAGATTATATCACTCGATCTCTATGTGTGCTTATATATAAGTATGACTATATATATTTGGGGAGATTTTAAGCAACTGATTGATTAATCAAGGGGCTCGCTTGTTCGAGAGGCAATTACTTTTTAATTTTGGAATTTATCCAATGGAATTTCTTTGGGGTTTTTTAAATCGTCGCTGTCTATTTTTTTCACTATATAGGATCTTTTACCACTAAAGATAGGTAAGAACTTTACTCTACAATTATTATCCAAAATTCTTTTCCTTTGCTTCGATCTCGTGTGTCCTCAGTTTATAAGCCGCGACACTTTCAATTGGACCATATGGATCATATTAGTATCAGTTTACCAATTACCAAGGTCATCTTTTGTTGGCTTTAATGGCTGCGGCAGTGTCCATATCTATGTGAACGACTGATTTACTAATCAGATATATATTCTCTGATGTTGTATTCCGCTTCGGTTTGACTTCAGTCGTCAACAATGATGTGATCATATCCCTGAGGTAATGCTTCTCTCGCGTCGCTCTCCCCCAGAGCGGCTTGGGAGGCGACGACCCGGCCGCCCTCTCACCACCTCCTTCCTCCTCCGCCTCCTTCCCGTCTGAGCGGTGGCCGCAAGGACAGCAGTGGCGAGGCTTCTTGCCAACTTCGCGCACGGGCGGCCAGGGGAGATGCCCAGGGTGGCGGCAGCTGATGGCGGGAACGGCGGCGGGGATGGCGAAGGCGACGACAAGGGCGAGTCCTTGAGGTGGCAGGGACAGCGACGGCGGCAGCGGTGACCGCCAGATCCGCGCCGCTCGGCCGGATCTGGCGGGGTGGCGGTTGACGGCGGAAACGACGGCGGGTATGGCCACGGCGGCGGCAGGGGAGTCATTGCGGTGGCAGGGTCGGCGACGGCGGCGGCGGTGACCACTAGATCCGCGCCGCTCGGGAACTAGTAGCGGGAACGGCAGCAAGGATGATGACGGCGATAGCATGGACGAGTCCCTGCGGTGGCAGGAATGGCGACGACAGGGTTGCACGTTGCTCAGCCGGGAGGTCACGGGTGCTCTGTGCCGGATGGGCGGGAGGACGGGGACGGCGATGGCAGCGAGGACGACGATGCCTGCGGAGATGGTGACGACGCTACGGCGGCGGCGCGCTTGGATCCGGCAGTCCCATGCTTGGATCTGGCGCCCCCGCGCTGGATCCAGCCGGAGGACGTGCCGGCGCTGGGAGAAGCCGGTGGCCGGTGGCTGCAGCTGGAGGAGGTTGCCGGCATGGCGCGCGTGGCTGACGGCAGCAGCGGCAGCTGACGACGGTGGCAGATGCGGAGGCGGTGAAGGTGTTGGTCGGCGGAGAGGGAGGAAACTGGGGGTGGGTGCGGACGCAGTGTTGACGACTGGAAATGGGCGACGGCGACTACGAGAGGAGGCACAGACGGCCATGGGCGGCTAGCCGGGGAGGTATGGCAGACGGCTGCATTTGGCCGGCACGGGAGCGGTGGGAGGAGTGCTCGGAGGCCAGCTCGGTGCGTAGAGGCACGGTCGATGGCAGCGAGGCCGGCGTGATGCGAGGAGGCGTAGCCGGCAGCGGTGGAAGCCGACTTGGCGCGAGGAAGCGTGGCCAGCGATGGGAGGCCGACTTGGTGCGAGGAGGCGTGGCCAACGGTGGACGAGGCTGGCCTGGCGCGGTGAGGTGCGGCCAGTGGTGGAGGCATGCACGGTGCGAGGAGGAGGAGCTGCCGATGGGTGCGGTGCGGTCTACGATGCACAGAGGCCGGCCGGCGGGGGGTGCCGATGCAGTGGTCCCTCATGTCGGTAGAGGTTGGATGGTGGTGGAGCATCGGGGTGCCAGCCGTAGACTCGCAGGTGGTGAGCGGCGGGTGAAAACCCAGCCCGGCCTCGGCCGGGCCTGCAACGATGACACTTGAAGCGTCATTCCCCTCCTGAGGATGTTGTATGTCGTCTCATCCCTCATGTGTGGATGCCGGGCGAAAGCCCAGTCTCGGTTCTCTTTGAGACCTTGACGGACGGCAGCGGTGGTGCTTTCCGTCGCTTCTCTCCTTGGAGACGTCGTTTAGGCATCCCCTAGCAGACCTCCCCCCCCCCATCCCCCAACCAATTGGTGCAAGCTCACTCTAGATTTCATTCTCTTGTAACGGCGTCCTAGTCTCTACAAGTTGGCCACGTCGGAGGACCTAGGGGGGAGAGGAGTTCCATTCTTCGCTCTCACCCTCTCTCCTTAACTCCTGAAGATTTGGATAGAGTGAGGCTTTGTGTTGTTTGTAAGGGTTAGGTTTTGGGCGATCTCGGCAGTGTTTCTTTGTTGGCCACGCTTAGCGGCGGCCGGTCCGGTGCTAGCCTTCTCCTAGTTCTGTGTGTTGACACTGTCGGTATGTGGGTGGTGTTATGCTTTTTTTCTTTTTCTGGTTACGACCTTCCAGGGTTATAATCTTGTAATTTTTCTCCTGCTCTATCAATAGAACTTTGCGCCGTCTTGTGCGAGTCATTAAAAAAAACAATGATGTGATCGAAATTTGATCGGTAAAATGATCTACCAGAGATTTGGGAGATGCTATTTCCTAATTAGTCTGAGAAATACTATAACTACATAACTTGCAAACTGTTGAAAACTACCACTACTGTAGAAAACTAAATGGGGGCCGGTTGAGAACCCCACATAGGTGCTAGTTTTCCAACCATCATCGCATTGACGGTGCTGATAAGGAGAAACAAGGGTGCTTTTTTAGGAACCGACATCTTTAAGGTTCTAGGAATTAAAACAGGCCAGCTTGATGCATTGACTCGAATCAAGACGATGCTTCGAGTGGGCCTGTCGTCTCGAGATCGATCGATCAATCAAGAACAAAATCATAGCCCCATCATCCCTGAAATTGATCGGCTCAGTCCCAACCGACATATAAACGAACACAATCACAGAATTAATATTCAAGTCGACACCCAAACTGAACATGCACAGAGAGAGAGAGAGAGGGGAAGGACACTGAAGAACACAAGGCCATGGCCGTTGATCTTCCTCCTCGTCAGCGTGACTAGATCCAGTGGGCATTGAGCTCTAGGTGGCCGGATCTGGTGGCCTCAACCTCCAGATGGCCACCCACTCACGCGTCAGTCTCTCAGAGAGAGGAATAGTAGACGGAGCCCCACCGAGAAAGGGGGAGACGCTACAGGTGAGGAAGTAGACCGGCGCCGGTAGCTAGATCTTTTGCCTCCCTCTCGCGCTTCAACCTCCCACTTGTGTGTCGGTCTCCCACAGAGAAGAAGATGAGAGGGAGCGTTCACCGAGATAGGATGAGACGCTGTGGGTGAGGAGGTGGACCCGCGGTAGTAGCCAAGCTCCAAGTGGCCAGATCCAACGCCTACCATTTGCGCACTGGCCTAGGCCACTTGTGTGTGGTTCTCCCAAAGGGAGGAAGAATAGAGGGAGCCCCGTTGAGAGAAGCGGCCGGAGATATTGTGGGTGAGGTGGTGGACTGCCGGTGGCTAAGAGGAAGCGGCAGTCCGAGCGAGGAGGAGGATGGGCGGAGGAGGTGTTGCGGGCAACTGAGGAGCTGCGGGCGAGGTGTTTGCGCACGCAATGGAGAATGAGGGGCGCACGGAAGAGGGCTATGAGTGAAGGAAAAGATAAGAACAACAACTTTTAGAATGGAGCAAGAGCCAGCTATTTTGGCTTAGCTCCATCCGTAAAGTGTGTTTTTGTTTTTAATAAAACCAACACTTCTATCCCACCCATAGGTGTCTATTTAATAGAAAACCAGGTAGGTGTTTTTTTAATAAACCGATACCTATAATACTAGTATTATAGGTTCCAGTTTTCAACTTTGGATCCGAACAAGGGAGATAGCTAGAAAAGCTTTATAGGTGCCAGTTTAAATGAACCGACACCAGTGTTGGTATTTCTTAACGACATTATTAGAAATATAATTACCAGCAATGGGGCAGAAACACTCATGGTATATTATGGTTACAGATTTCATCCGCAAGCGCACGGATATATCATTGTAGCATTTCACCCGAGAGTACTCCAAGGGTATCGTATTTGTTTAATCCCGTGGGAAGATTATAATAGAGAGAACCAAGCTAATATTTATATGTTACTTGTAACAATCAAAGTCTAAGCAGGGGTTAGTTCAATTCAAAAGGGTAGGGTTGACACAAAGCAGAAGCATTCACTACTCTCATACATATTAATTCTAGGCTAAGTGGAAAGGATAAGAAAAGAATCATTTCCTATACTTCTAATATACATACACACACTTTAGTCAATATTATCTACTATATAATTATATAGCCAATATCCCCCTTACGATGCCCTCCTGGTGTTTTGAGAGACCACCCCTAGTTGCCGAGTTCCTTAACATGTCATGGCCATCCAACCGGGGCTAAATACGGAGAAGTACCCTCCCAGGAAAAGTAACTTAGGATTATATACACGCGCGGAAGAATACCCGTACTGAGCTGTCACCATCAGCGGCCCACCTCGACGTATCCACAACATATAACCCCAAATAATGATATTCAATAGCCTAAGCACCTCGCTCATGCTACCAAATACTACTCTACAATCACCGTCGTGACTTAGAGCATTCATATAAATGAACATTATACCCACACCATTGCATCTCCCGAGTAAGCTACCTAGACAATTATATCTTGAATAATATATCGGAAAGTCGGTACTCGAATAATCAGAGTGAAATAAAGTACCGTAAATATATTGAGAAGAGTATTCTATAAATAGTACAAGTCTTACCAAAGAAGGAAAAACTACTAGAGCCATACCCGAATTCTTCTGAAGACTCCGAGGACTGATGATTCTATTCTATTTCTACTCCACTATACTCTAGAAACTATACTAAACTTGAGAGAATGTATGAAGCTTCTTGTTTGAGGTGTGTCGAAATGGAGGATGAGAGTTCCTTTTATAGCCTCCCAATGACGGTTGTGACGGTTGGAATGGTCAGAAATGCCCTCCAACCGTCATTGGGATGCAATCCTAGACGTCCACGTCGAATCCTGGCTTCAACGGTGGAGATGGGGGTTCGGCCGAACCCCCTGGTTCGGTCGAACCATGGGCTGGTCCAATCCAACCCATTTTCGGCTAGCGGCCTCTTGTACTTCTTCTCTACGCAGACTTGTGAATTTTGGGTTGTTTTGGTCGTGTCAGTTTGGTGTTCTCAGCCTACTTGTCTACAAGTCTGATTCTCGACAGCATCCGATTGATTGATCGTCCGTTTTGCTGTCGATTCGTCTCCATTTTGTGTTTATTCTCTGCAAGAGGTTAGAAAGCCTAGTGCTAGTGGAATATATCTTATTTTGACACAATATGCATTGCAAGCATGACTTAGTTCTCCTCTAATTTGATGATATTGATGGGCGAAACTGATCGCTAACGACTGTCAACAACCAGCCTCACCTATGAGGTCGGTCTGTGTGTGGTATTCCGTACTAGTGAATGGTTATGTAGTTACTCGCTAACCAAGTTGTTTTCTCTATCTTTAGTTGGTGTTCTATGTAGTTTTCTTCTTTTATCAAATCGTTATTTTGTAAGTCGTAGTCTTCAACCAAAACCTCAGAGTAGTTGGTTGTAACTTCCATGGACATATTTCTTGAGAAGATTTTTGGGGTGCCATAGAAAGCTCTATATATAATAAGAAAAACTAACCTACGGTATCCAATCCGGGGGAGTGGGGACGGGATACATAATGAGCGCTCATCATCCTTATTCGCCCGCATCCTTTTCCACCTTACTCGATCCCCAATCACCCTATCGCTCTTCTAGTTGCACATACGCCTCTCAACCACCACCGCTCTTCTCCTTCCTCTCCTCTTCTTCCGCCACCGCCCTTCTCCTTCCTCCCCTCTTCTTCCTTACCTAGCTGGAAGCCTGAAAATGGGTTGTGCTCCTTTCTCCTGCTCACCTACCCTCCTGCTCCATCCCCCCTCACCATCAATGAGTCAGGGAGAGGGCTGCCAGTACCAGATCTAGAGATACCTAGGGCCTTCCCGTCATTGGATCCGCCTGAGCCATGTTAGCAATGAGGCGATGGATCGCACCAGCCCTCGTGGCCTCCACCTCGGTGTCATGCCATCGGGGAGGATGTCGATCGATGCGAATCCTCCTCCCACGCCACTGTTAGTGGTGATGGAGGGGAGACAAATGAAGGTGCTAGATCTGCAGTTTCGATTAACAATCGGCGTGGTGCTGCAGACATCGGCTGCTCGTCGACATTGTGCGCAGGTATGTCGTGCATGCGGCATATCACCATGGCTCGGCTGGTACCTATAAGTACCAGGCATGGTACCAGTGGTATCATGGTTGATACCTACACAGGGCTAGTACTAGTGGTATCATGGTTGATACCTACAGGTTTCAGACCTGGTACCAGTGGTATCATGGTTGATGTCTCGAGTACCAGCTGATACCTATAGTTACTAACCGATAACTCATAGGTACGAAGTATGAGGTATCAAGGTATCGGGAGAGAACGTACGTCGTTGCCGCTTGGCTGGGTGGCTAGCCATCTACCACCAGCGTTTTGTTTCGTCTTCTTCCTTCCATTCATTTTCCTATCTCCATCTTTTTTCTCCTCAATATGGTGTTGATACAAGGGTCACCATGCCATTGCAGGGACCAACTTTGCTACCTAAGCCACTACTGGTGTCGTGTCCTTCTCCTAACGCCTCACGCGTGCTCTTCCACCGGCTGTGGCATGAGCGCGTAGGGCGGCGCTAAGACGTGGACTCATAAGTGGATAAAGCTGAGGCGGGACCAACGTCATTAATATAAAGTATCCCGTTTGGATGGGATGCCGTACCCTTGCAGCCCTCAAAAATTTATATTGATTGATTCCCTGAGCTATTGGATTTAACCACCAAACCAATAAGGATTTCATCATTGGACCACGTTTCTTGACTGTTTTTAAAGAACACACTTGAGAGGATGAGTGTGGTAAAGTCGCAATTTTCTATTCTAATTAAAAGAAGCCAAGCGTTTGTTCTACTCACTACGTCCAATGAAGGCATCACTGTCCGTGGTATCAGTAGACTACCATATTGAATTTGACGATTTGTGTTCTCGTAACCATAACCATATTCACACCCGCATTATATGACAGATTGCATGCAAGCGTGGTTACTTCGTCATGTCTGCTGAAATCTGAGGCCAAATGATGTTATACTAATACTCCAAGTCTCTGGTATGGTATCCATAGTGTTGCTTGTTCCAAGTATCAAGTCTTCTTCAGAAGAATGCATTTTAAGGCAGGCTTTTGGGAAAATATCACTTTGCAGCAAAACAGGTCTAGCAATACTGGTCCATTTTCGTTTTTTTATTACATGGAAAACATGCACCCACGCACCAACACACACTAATGCACATACCCACGAGTGAGATAGAAGGTAGCGACAAAGTTACCTGTGCCAATATGAGCGTGATATATGGCAGACGAAATCGTACATCCACGACTCTTATCCTTTCTAGACTGTACCAACTAAGCTTAACAAAAGGATTATGTTCGTCGAGGCATAACAGATTCAAGATATATAGTTTTCGGAAACAGTTCTACATCTACACATTAATAAGGAGAACGTCGCCAGACAGAATGACAGATGCTTATCTACAGGCATTCCTGCGGTTAGCCACAAGTTAAAAACTAAATCTACACCACAGCCAAGAAAATAGAATAACAGGAAGGTTGGCTGTACCACACCGTTGGGAATCATGCTGTTTTATGGCTAGCATGTGGATTATTGCTTGTGCTTCTGCTGGTACAAAATGAAACAGAGGAAAAAGATGGCAACACGCATTTATCTTGCCTTCTCAATCCTGTTCATCACATCATGATAGTACAGGAGAAGGCACATTGGCTGCCCATAGATGCAGAAAAAGAACCAAAATATCATGTTGCCAACCTGTTAAAGATGACACGAGTTAGAACTGATTTACATTAAAACAGAAGTTTTTCAATTGCAATCATGGAAAATGTGGCTAACCATTGTATCTCTGAATTTACTTTTGAGGTATGCTGTCAATACGATAAGGGGGATCTGGAAACAAGGGGGAAAAAAAGGAGACTGCATGAGAACAGTTCTATGTCATACTGCAGAATGGGCACACATTTATTTATACAGAAAGGAAAAAAACAAGAGATTGCATGAGTGCACGTTTTACAGCATACTATTCAGTGTAATTTTTTTAACACGTACCTGTAGCATTATTCCTAAGAATGCCCAGAACTTGAGAATGCGGCAGGGAACAGCGACACATATCTGATAAAGAACAGAAAATGTCATAATTTACTCAACAATCAAGAATAACAGATAGGTATTTCACACATATACTAGTTCCTGAAAAGGACAAGGGAGAAAGTTTACCTCATGGAGTACGGCAGAAACAAGGAATGATATCAAGACAGCAACTTCCTGAAAGAAAAACAACAGGACTTAACAGAGTACCGGGTATCACCCATGTAATAGAGCTAATCTTTTCATAGAGATGGACAGCAACCATTGCGAACAGTATCAGCATGTGTGAAATATAATTTTGAAGAGTTCTTTCTGCTTTGCAATAGTAGAGTGAGTTTTAAGCATATTGGATTAAAGTTAGGTTTTCTGGCTGCTGTTTGCTGGAACCAGTGGTTGACTAGAAATAACATGATTTTCAGAAACAAGCTGGTTTACTCCCCACTGACAATTCCCTTTCAAATCATCTCCTATTTCTTGCAGTGGAAGCCTCTTTTTTGCCATGAAGAAGTGGAGAAGTTGGAAAAGCAATGCTAAATCTTCGCCCACCCAGAACTGGAGTTGGGTGACCTTTTGTGTCTTGGTGATACGCTGTTTTCAAGTTTGCCTGACACTGTCTGTGTCCTCTGCTTTGGGTTGCTGCCGTACTTGGAGTTCAGTTTTAGAATTTGCTTTTGTCCCTGTGAGATGTCGTTCCTGGCTTACCCTGGCTGGCCTGCGGCCGGTGTTTTGTCACCTTTTCCTGCACCGAACCTACCTGGTGAGCTGGTCTCCCCAGCGAACCTGCCATGATGGCTTTCTATAAAAGCTGGGCCTTTTGGCCTTTATTCTTAAAAAAAAAACTAATCCTAATTTCTTAAACAGTTCAAACCACCCTCTTGTTACTGGATCCCAACAGGGTAATGATGAATGATTCAGTTGTTCAAAGCCAAGATCTTGTATCTTACTACCAAGGGAACTAGTAACATTCAGTGGGTGGTCCTGTAAGGCAATTGATAATGCAGCTAAGGATGTATTTTACAGTTTGTCGGATACATTTCAGTTAAGAGGGTGGAATGAATTCAATTATCCAAAAAAAAAAGTACATTGAATGCAAATATAAGCAAAACACTCACAGTAGAAGTTTTACCTTTGATATACCATTTCGCATGCAAGGAAAGTAAATATGGCGAACAACCCATTTATGTACAGGCTGTGAAAAAAGGCAACATTAATGATCATATTGGTCAAAACAACAACATACAAACAAGAGAAGCGTAACATAATATATCCATCACAATAATTGTATTTTCTGTTGATTTTGTTTCCTCTATGGTTATATAATATATCTACTTGGTACTTTGTTTACTTTTGCACTACAAACCTGATGTTAAGAATTCCCTTTGTTCATTAATTTCCTATTGGCTTGCCATTTTTCCTGGATGTTGGTTTGAAATGGGTACAGGCTCTAACTTGCAAAAAAGAAAAAAAATATAAATCGGTGTACATGTCTTGTCTGGTTGTAGGCAGCTGCTTAAGCCTAAAGGTACCACAGTTTTAAATAAAAAGAAAGCATACCATATTCCATTTTCTCCAATACTGAGATCCCATCCAAGTACGACCGCACATGTAGCAGGAGCAAACATCACACAGAATGTTAGAGCTGTTTACCTAACTTCTTTTAGATTGAGAAAGGAAGCAAATGATAGCTTGAAAACTATTGTCTTTCACCTCATCAATTGTTTTTGCATTCCACCAATCTTTGTAGAATTCACGGTCACCAAATCGAAGAATCTCAGCAAGTATACTTAACCTGTGCAATTATCAATGTTTAAACTGTAAGTCTGGTGTTAGAGAAATTATTTGTTCACAAGCTTGGATCATGCAAGGAAATGTATGCATTCAGAAATAAATTGATTTTGAATATATTATAGTCTAATAGTGACCATTTTCTTGATTATGAATAAGTAGAAAATGGAAATTACCAGAGATGGAAAAAAGCATAGAACATGCAAAGCCACAGGTAAACATTTGGTAATGAGAGTTTCAAAACAGTCTCTACAGCATTTAGGAGTCCTCCTTTCAATGGATGCTGAGAATTCACAACAATTGGATTTATGTACTGCAAACATATAAAATTAATAAATGGTTAAGAAGTGCATGAGGGTATTCTAGAAGACCAAAACATAACAGAATAGCTTACTTGCTCAATAATGAAGCCTTGAAGACCAGTAAAGATCAAGTACAGAATAATTTGACGAATCAGCCAACCTTTTCTAACACATGAAGTTCGGGGATAGCTTGGCTGCACGAATAACGAAAAAATCAGTTCATTTATAATAACGAAGAACCCGCAAAATGTACCATGAGGTTAAAAACAATTCGTTATCTTCTAAAGCTAGGTATCATGAAATTAAAAATAAAATAAAATAACGGCAGAAAAATGTAAGTTCAATAATATGAACATAGAATATTGTTATTAATCTAATAAACTGAGCTACTGGCAAACTATTGCTGCAATTTGTGAAAATAAGGACACTGGTAAATATTCAGCCAATAATAAAAGGAACTTCTCGAGCATGATTAGTTCAAGGCCTCTTTGGACCATGTTGTATACGAAGGTTTCTAACGAGATGATGATAACAACTAAGTATTCAGCAATAACAGGGTAATATTACATACCAATGAATAAACCAATATGTAATAACACATACATATGAAGACGAAGTTTAAGCCAGCCAAAAAAAAGGCTCAGAAGAGCACAAATCTAATTTCTAAGTGCCTCGCTAATATCCTTGAACTTCAAATTATTCAATTTTTGTAGTGAAACCTCCTTTTAAAAGATATACAGGAAAGTGCCATAAAAATCCATTAAAATAACGGGAAATAAACATTGTATGGCAGCAGGAAAAAGGAAACGATGCTCAATGGTAACAAATTCCTCTATTTAATATGATATAAGCACGGTGTGGTTTGCATCCAATAAGAACCACCACCTTTCAGAACATGTTTGCATGATTAACTGAAAGTTATCAACATGCAGAATGAGTGAATGACCCAAAAAATACCTGATAACAGAGTGTAGGAGCCATCATGAAGTATATTAGATTCCCTAAAGTTGGAGGTTGTAAATTATCCATGTCAACTGTGCTTAGTTCATTATCAACCTGATAAACAGAATGTTATTTGCTACAGAAGTCAAATAAGATAACAGAAGTAAGAAATAAAAGGCCAAGCAAGAGAAGCAGCAAGTCATGACATTATTTAGGAGCCAAACAGAAAATATACAGTTAAAATATGTAGATTAGAACCAAATGGCCCTGGGTACAATGTCCTCAAACTGTAGCAGAAATACTACCAAACTATGTTGCGGAATCTTATGAAGTCAATGGATAGATGAGCAAGTTCTCAGTCAAAAAGTAAAATAAATTCCATCACATAGCACCCTGAATATATTAAATAAAGTGATAAAAAGAGAGAGACAGCAATTTGCTACCCTTGTGGCAGAACCCCCTTATCCAAATGGGCCATTAAAGAACATCTGACAAAAAGAAAATAAGAAATGTACCTTCTTGCCGCCCATGGTCAGTTGCCTTATATCATGGTTTGTATGTGCAAAAGATACAAGCTTCAGCCAAACAATACAGGCAATAAATATCAACAAAAAGCCAGACAAAACTGCAGAATCACACCTGAACAAGGGAAAAAAGGATTTGGTATTAGAATGATAATGAAAGAACGATAACATTTTTCTTTTATAGAAGATTTAGTGTAAACATTTTACAAATGCATTGATTTCTTTTGGAAAAAAAAATTATACAATGTATGTTTACATGCATTTTCTTAACATGTTTGAGAAAACTCTTGTTCCACAGCAATTTGCAAGATCCGTCATATACTTGAAGGGTTACATATCCTTACTTAAGAATCACAAGCACTGGATATACAATTTCGGTTGTTGAAAGGAAGATATGGAGGCAGGTAGCAACCTGCAAAAGAAAATGGATAAATCGTTGATATTCTTTGCTCAAGGAAGGAATTCTGGGGATTCAATAGATAAAAGAAAAGGGAATTCACCAGCTATTCTAATCAAAGTACATGAATGATCCATACCAAATATGTAAAACTTGTAAACCATTTATTTAAGTACTGTAGACTAGTAGAGTTTTAAGGTACAGGGTTAAGAAGGCCTCTGCTTACAGCATCAGTAATAACATTGTTAAATGCCAACTTTTCAACTGCAAATGCACCCAGGGGGAAAGCAGGCAGACTAAGACTGGAACAATGAAAAACAATTTAAAGTCTATCAGTTTCAAAATAAAAAGGTATTATAGAAGCGTACAATTGATCGTCGTTATATATTACCAACACATTAGAAGTGGCCAGTCCCGCAATGATTTATCATTAAACCAAAACCCAGCTCTTATTAATAAGCCATACTGCAAAAAAGAACATTTGAAGAAAACAAGTCATAAAGAAAAGTATCATGTATATAAGCAAGTGAAAATGAACAGCATTTATCAGTGGATAAGAATAGGCGGCTATGAACCTTCATTAAGTTCTCGATAATAAGCCTGCTGTTCACTGCAACTAGAACAACAATGCATAGGTTGAAAAGGCCTGCATGACTCTGTTGGAAATGCCAAAAGAGAAGTATTAGGGAACAGAGCTGTAATCTGTAAGCCTTCCAGAAAATGAAGCTAGCTCTAAAATACATGGACAAAGAGACAAAAGTCCGAGTTCACCAAAGAGATAGTAGTAGTAAAACGCAAATATAGTGCTTAGTTGGATAAAAAAATTATAGCTATACTTTATTTTTCCATTAGGCCGCATCATGTGAGCTGAAGACTGAAGCATTCATGTACTACACTTGCAAGGTGGAGGTATTAACTAAACCCAAGTACCACCCTACTTTTATCAGTTGTATCTAGACAATGTCACGTGGTTCAATCCCACAACCACCAGTGTCAAACTCAGTAGACTTTTGCTGTTCGTTCGCAGTAATCAAGACATGAATATGTCGTGAGCTAATAGATTTATGTCCAAATCGTGCAACAGCCTACAGCGCATCATTAAAGATCCGAATCTCGGAACAACTTCACGAGCTATTTACCTAGGACTTTCAAGTACACAATAGTAGATTCGTCGTGGCTCCCGCATGCGTCAGCGAGGAACAGGGGGAAAAAAATGGGTCACGCCTTTTGGCTTGCACGAACACAATCACATCGAAACGACTGGATTATCGTTATACGACAACCATAACGGATGATTAAATGGAATAAGAGGAAGGAAATCGAATTGCGCGTGCCCATTTCGACGGGGATTGGGGGGAGGGGTGGGAGAGCGGCGCGGGCTGACCTGCTTGAAGATGGCGTCGGAGCTGAGGGGGCTCTCCTTGGCCTTGCGGTGCACCGGCGCCGCCGCGCGGAACGTGAACGCGGAGAAGTCCCCACCGCCGCCACGGCCACCACCGCCCCCGGCGGCGGAGGACGCCTCCGCCCCGTTGGAGTCGCCGCCACGGCGGCGGGACGGGGACGAGGACGAGGACGAGGAGGGCTCCCCGGAGGCGGCCTCGTCCCCGGAGTCGCCCCCGAAGCTGGCCCGCGCGGCCGCCGCGGCCCCCGAGCGGATCCTGCGACGGAGCGCCGCCGCGAAGCCCTCGACGATGGCCCCGCTGCCTCCCCGCGGGCGCGGGGGCCGGCGGTGGTGGTGCGCGGGCGCCGCCGGCGCGTGTGCTTCCCCTCCGCCGCCGTCGCCGTCGCCATCGGAGCCCACCATTGGAGGGGTGGAGGGAGAAGGGGAGACGTCGCGAGGGAGACGAGAGGTGAGGAGAGACGCGGGACGACGCGGCGGTGGCGGTGACGAATCAGAGAGGAGGAGGAGGACGAGGCCTTTCTGGGCTCTGGCTCTGGGTGCGTGGGGCCCACGTGTCAGTGATGTGCGGGAGTGATTGGGGCCCACGCGTCGGTGAGTGTGGGATTCGATGTGCGGGGAATGATTCTCTGTGTTCGTGAGAGAGAGCAGAGCAGGTAGGGAAAGGTAGGAAGAAGGGAAGTATTAGTCGTAGTAGTACTTCACTTGCGTAAGTAAGCCGAGGTGACCGCTCATCTTTCTAGAGCGGTTGCGTTTGGTGTCTTTGTTACTATGGTACTGTATGTTGTTGTAGTACACGTTAACGGAGTCAACTAGATATAAATAACTCTGTTGAGTTACGTACCATTCCAATAAAAAATGGAAGTTACTAAAAAAGACGGACAATTCACTAATATATTTCAATACATCCAGTTACATGAGAAGGCTCCCTCATATCTCAGCCATGGTGTCGATGCTACTAATCGGCAATACAAGAAGGCATACTGCACGAGAGCTAAAGTAGATGGATTGAATTGCAAAAAAATTATAAAAGTTTAGGCCCTTGTCAATAGGTAACACCATTCTCATGTTTGAGATTTCTACTTGTCGGGTGTTGTTTGAGATTTCTACCTGTCGGGTGTTGTATTGATCTGATGATCTTAAGTGTGGTTATATCCTTAAGGGGGCCTACTACCCATCTTATATAGGTCAGGAAGGCAGGATTACATATAAAAGTTAACTAAATACAACATATATTTTACAATATTCTGAATCCAGGATTGTAGGCTGTTTCCTTTAATACTTAAGGAAACATAATGCCCAAGTCTTAATCCGTTACATATTATAGAGATATAAAATATCCCCTATAACCAGTCCGATAAACCAACTATGTGGGTATATAGTACTCATAATCTCCACACGTGGAATAGAAGTGGATTGTATTTTTTTTTGATTAATTGTGTGCCAACCTAGATTCATACTTGAGATATATGGTTCTGATACCGTATTGAGTGACATGCATCGATCAATTTCACACAAAATACTAAGCTAATAGAGAAAGACGAGCAATCAACTAGTTCCAATACTCTCACGTATTTTATATTCGGGTTTAAGTGCATTGTTTTAGGCTTCGTTCGACAAGGAAAATTAGCTTGGTTTTTCCGCAACACACAAAACGAAAACAATCGTTAACGTATGATTAATCGAGTAGTAACTATCATAAACTTGAGAAATGGATCTACTTGATTTTTAAAAACAAATTTCTATATAGAAAGTTTTGCATATCGTTTAGCAGTTCGGGAAGCGTGTTTATGGAAACGAGATACAAGCCAAACAAAAAAGTTGATTCATACTCAACCTTAGTATTTCTTTAATTTCTTTGTGGTTACACATGAGTCTATTTTGCAAAATTGAACTATCATGATACCAACATGTTTGGCATGATTCTAGTTCCATCGCTTTTGGAGTTAGAACCCAACCAAACGGTTTCAACTGCACTTGAAAACAGAATAAAGTGGGTTGTGTGGGCTGAAAAATAAATAAACGGGGTAGAGTGGGGTTCGAGCCGCTCAACAGTTACACTCCAGACTATGCTATAATTAGATTTAGAAGTTGGAGCTCTTTAAGACGTATATTGTAAAACTATAAATTTAATAACAAATCTATCATAAACCAAAAATTTAGAATAAGTTATTACAAAACTACAGATGCAATAACAAAGGGTTTGCTTGAATTGCATCCATTCTCAACCTTACCTAAAAAAGGGTAATGGTAATATTTTGCTAAACATTTGAAAATGCCAATATTTTGGAAAGGCTAAACAAAAGCTTTGTACTAACTTTACCAAAAAAAATTGACAACAAACCACAACCAACTTTATTAAATTTTTTGCTTTGCTTTGCTTTCTTTCTTTTTTTTTGCATGGTTGAGAATAGATGCAATCCAAGCTAGCTCAATGGTATCACAAAACTGTAGCTTTTATGGTTTAAATACTAATATTATCATTCTATTGGATTCATAGAATTTTAGAGTTTTATGATTGAATTAGTGCTAAATCTTAATGGTTCCTTTCAATTTAAGTCATTTCAAAGGAACTTTTAGAATTTCAATCATTGGAAAAATTTTCATTCGATCTTATTTAGGATCAAAGGAATATCATTGGTAAAATTATTATGAATTTGACTCCTAGTATGTCTTAATTCCATACGAATCTAAGCATGGATGCATACATCATGTTTTTATTTTTCTGTGAGAAGTCACATGCATTCTCCGCTATTCTCTCTTTCACAAAACAATTGTAAAATCAAAGTGTGTTTGATTCTTATTCTGTGATGAACAATTGGCAGCTGAGATTATTGGTTTTGATATTTGGAGATTATTAGTGAAGTGGTTTTGGACATGCTTGGATTTGCAGGTGATTTACAGGTGTTGCTAATTGTCGGGTCCAGTCAGATCGGGCACTAGTTGCCGGTCAGACCGGTGCTATGCGAGCGGTCTGACCGGCCAGCCCGCGGTCTGACCGGCCGACTCTGTGTCGGTTTCGGTTTCGGGTTGTTTCATTGGATATCCGTGGATGTTTCGTGTTTATGGCTTCTAGATGGATACTATGCGTATGTAATACTGTTGTTTGCTAACAATGAGTCAAGTTGGAGATAGTTTGGTCTCGGAATATGGTTTCTTTGTTTGATTCATGTGTAGGTGCCTTGATGCCTCAGGAGAGTATTTCCGGTGATGGATCGGGAGTCAACTTGGAGATAAGGTGACGTCCGGACGGTCAGATATCATGCGGGATACTTAGGCTAAAGATCAATGCACGTGGTTGGTGAAGATTCCATCTGGCATACGATGGAGATATTGTGTACGTATGGGATGCGGAGTCAAATTTGGAAGGAGTCCAAATTTGGTATGATTGAAGTTTGTAAAGTTGGTTTTTTATACGGAAAGGTTTCCTAGGTGAATTAGGACTTCTTGTATGAGTTTGGTTCGTGGCTTTAGGCTGCCTATCTCATGTATAAATAGAGAGGGAGCGTGAGGCTTCCCTGTATCGCTTTTGAGAGCATTGTGTTGAGAGATTAGTTAGGGTTTCGAGTTTAGTCGAGATTTTCGTGAGGAGTGTTGTTGTTGCACTTTGTAAACATAGATAGAAGTAATAAAGTTGCCATCTACATCAAGAGTTCTTCAATTTGTGTTTGCTCGGGTTCGGCGGTCTAACCGGCGAGACACCGGCGGTCAGACCGGCGGCATTGCGACGGTCAGACCGGTGGCATTGCGATGGTCAGACCGGCGAGTATACAATGATCAGACTGGCGACGGCGACAGAAGGCAGAGAAGACTCTAGGGCGGTCAGACCGGGTGACCTACATCGGTCAGACCGGCGGCACAAGCACGGTCAGACCGATGGGACAACTCCGGTCAGACTGATCTACATCGATTCGAGGGTAACTTATAATTCTGCTAAAAGTTTTGGTTTTTGGGTACTCCAACCATTCACCCCCCCTCTTGTTGGCTTAGTTCTTGTTGTTCGATCCTACAACAATTTCATCCAAAATTTCTATGTTTCATTTCATATAAACCATCCAAACACATCTAAAGGAATATTATGAAGTAAATTAATTGCAATCAGAGAAACTGAGAAAATTGAGGACCAAGCTAATAAATAGCATATAGTGGGTCGGTAGTGGATTGGTGCCTATGTAGTGGGTCACGCATAGGGGACACTAAGTTCCTGTAGAGGCATTTAATTATCACACATATTTGAGAGTATACATCATGAATAAATGAATAATGACATTATAAAACACTAACAAAGCAAGTAAGAAACAAACTAGTGATATATCAATACAGTATAACCTATAAGGATAAGTAGAGATTTAGTAGCACTTGAAAAGTTGGTGTCTTGTTCCAACATAAACTAAATTAAGAAGAAAACATGATATTCTACTTGTTAGATGTGACTACTCACAATAATACAATACTTTGGGAGACAAAACAACTAGCAAGCTCGTCATTTATTATGATTTAGTGGTTATATAAAATATGCTCACACTGTAACTGCTTGCTAAATCGAATCGTGACCACTATAGCAGCCCGCTAAATCAAAATAGTAGCCACTAAGTTCCAACATGCTATTTCCAGTCTGCTACATCATAGAGGTAGCGGTAGAGGCTACTACCACTATAGCGCCTGCCATGAACGCTATTTATTAGCTTGTTGAGGACTTAATAATAGTACAAATTGGTTGTTGCTTTGATTTTGGAGGAATAGGTGGCACAGAGCGTCTGAGAGCAACCGCCGATGATGTATATCAAGGAAGAGAAAAGGATAAAAAGGACAAGAGAATATCGTTAGATTAGTTTAGGCTGCCTCGCGTTATCCTACGTCCTGCGAACTAGAATTGGGCTTTTATGCAAAGGTTAAGACTTTGGGGTCTATATGCACATGTGCCCAATCCTATGCCCCTATTGAGTTGTGCCCAAGGCCATCACACCACATGCCATGCCCTAGAGCACAATCTTCAGCGCGAGACATCGCCTCATCGACTCGCCTCCTCGCCTCATGTAGCTAGAGAATTTAAATGAATGAATCAACTCTCTCATCGCCTCGTCACTTAGTGCTAGACTCTTCGTCTCCACTTCACGGGTACACAGTCAATCTTAGAAAAAAAAAGGCAAAATGATGCCAATTAAAGTCAAAGGTACTAGTACAACCAATCAGTACAGTTTCCGAACCAGATAACACGCACAAATCACAACACACAATGGACAACTCACACGGTCAATTGCCCAACCCATAGTAAAGCAGTCAACTATCAAATAGCAAATATGAAAAATAGGAAAAACTTTTATGTCTCTTTTTAATAGGTTTAAAAGCCAAGACGGGAAAACAAAATTTGATGACAAAAGAACTCTAAAATTGCGTTTAAAAATTTAAATTTTGGTTGTGGCTGGTAAGTCAAGATGATGCACCATCCATCGAAAATGAGTTGATTTCTGGTTATGCACCAATAAATCAACTTTTAATATAAAAATAGGGGGAGTTATTGCAAACCATTGGCGGTGTTCGTTAAAATGCAATTTGAAAACATAAACGTGTATTAGCAAGACCAGAAAACATAGATGTAAACCAGAAAGGAAGGGATAAATATAGAGAAGAGTAGAGAGCATGAACATCATCAGCCCATGATCACACTAACACATCGATCATGAGCAATGAAAACAAAGTAGACCAAATACCACAAACCATTGGTACTCGGTTTGTAAAAGCCGACCGGTATTAGCCGGATTTTGTATGGCATTAACGAAAGTTTATATTTTCGGTTTTTACCGGTTTTCGGTCGGTTTCCATAAAACGGTGGACAGTGTGGTTGGAAATTCCGGAAAAAATTTCGGACCCCTCCGATACGATATTATTTCGGCCGAAATTTTTAATTTTTTTAATTTTTCCATAAATTTTGGTAATATTTGTTCAAATTCAACTAAATTTTATTCAAAATTTTGGATTGAAATATTTCGGTGAGCACCGATCAAATCGGCTAAACTAAAGGTTTAACCCTGGTGGACAGCAGTGAATTGCACGGTTGTTTGTTTATCACCAAATATCTCTATAATAAAAACCTTGTCTACATACACGCAGATTCTGGTCGGTTCACTTCAACAACATCGCAACACATTCAAAACCAAGATCGCGTTCAAATCGCCCTACATTGGCGCGCAATGCCCCCAATCTCCCGCCAAATTTTAGCACCGGCAATTCTCGCCGCCGCAGCAGAACACGCCGCAGCCGCCGCCGCACCCGCATCGAGGCCACCACACCGACGGCGGCGACGGCCAGCAGCATCGGAACAGGCACCACCCTCCCTGCGCCGCCGCGTCCGGGCTCTTCGCCGCCTCCTTCCCTTCCGTCGCCGGCGCCGCCGCCTCCGTGGGGAAGACGGCGGAGGGGTTGGTGATCTCGCCGGAGACGATCTCGGCGTCGGGGGCGAACCGGACGGACTTCCTGTTCTTGCCGGCGGCGATGGTGGTGCACCTGGCGCAGGAGCCGCTCACGCAAAGGCCCCCGCCCCCGCCGCCGCCGCCGGCGGCGGCGGCGGCGGCGGCGGCCGAGGTAGAGGAGGGGATGCGGTGGAACCCTCCACCGGAGGCGTCGTAGAAGAGGTCGCCGCTGCTGCTGTGGTTGCTGCTGTTGTAGCGCGCGCTGAGGTCGCCGGAGTGGCGGAGGTTGATGCTGAACAGCGAGTCGTTGGAGGCGACGCTCCAGTCGCCGCCGCCGCCGCCGCCGCCGGAGCTCGTCGACCCCGTCCGGAAAATCGACGACGGGAGCCTCTTCGGATCATACCCTCCGCTGCCGCCGGCGACGGCGAGCTGCTGCTGCTCGTGCGACGCCATCATCGTCTGCACGGCCGGTGCCCGCGTCGCCGCCGCCGCCGCGGTGATGCGGTCGAGGTCGGCCGCCTCGAGCTGGATGAAGCTCTCGTAGGACGACGCCGAGGAGGAGAAGGACGACTGCTTGTCCATGATCTCCGGGATGCTCTCGCACGACAGCGACTTGCCGGACATCGCAGCGTGGTAGCTCCTCGACGACGTCGACGACGACGGCGACGACAGCGACGCGGCCGCCGACGAGAAGGAGCAGGAGGAGTGCGACAGCTCGCGCCCATGCATCGTCGTCAGCACCGCCGCCGGCGCCGGCGCCGCAGCCACCGCGAGCAGGCCAGCACCGCCGCCGCCATGATCCATGGACTCCATTGACACGTCCGGCAAGGTCGTCACCGATCGCTACCTCCTCTGTTCGCCGCCGCCGCCGCGCTGCCGTCCCTTGTTGATCACGATCGCAATCGGCGGCGATGACGCCGCTGATCTGAAAACAATTCACACAACAAAACCAATCAAATCAATATCAAAACGGACACGACAAATCAAAGAAAACATTAGCGTTAACACAAATTGGGAAAAAAAGAAACCAAATCTTTGCGCGAGATCAGCATCATCTTACCTGCGATCGATGAAGAAGAAGGTGGGCATGGGTACGGGGGGGGGGGGGGGGAATGGCCGGAGCTCGAGGATGAACAAGCCAAAGAAATGGAGCTCCGACAAGAGGCATTGGCGCGAGGGTGCTGTGCTTTTATATGCTGGGCGACGATCGGAGGAGGAAGAAGGCCGTTAATTGGAGGCAAAAAATGGGCGCTGCCGTCTTCGCTGGTGGCCGGACTACTTTTGGCATGGAAACCATGAAACGAAACAAGGAGGAAGAAAACCCAACAACAGCGTGTGCATGCCATCCTGGAACTCATTTGAGCTTCTCCCTTTCTATGGCCTAAATTTTGCTCAATTTTGTAGCCTTTAAAAACAAGGTGATTTGGAGGGAGAGATGTCCCTCCAAACATTCTTTTAAAGAAGAAATTTGAGCGTGTTGAGGATCGAAAACGGGATCTCAGGGTTAAAATTACACACCCTTACCACTGTCTTATCAAGTGCATCTCTATTTTTGTAGCCTTTGAATCGGTCGCATCAACAATTGCACAATTGAAATCTAATTATCTAAGTTTTTTCTTACTTCAGTTGGCTTTACTTTCTGAATGGATGAATGGATGGTGTTGCTATGTATGCTTTATCTTTGAGTAAATTTCACAAAATTACAAGTATTTTAGCTGAATTATCATAAAACTACATATTTAACATGATGTATCATGAAACTACATATTTAGCACTAAATTTGTCATAGAACTACATATTTAAGATGGTGTATCACAAAACTACAGATTTAATAACAAATTTATCACAAAACTACATGTTTAATATCAAGTTAATAACAAAACTTGGACATTAATAACTCAAACTTGGACATTTTTTGATAAATTTATTGTTAAATATGATGTGATAATTTAGTCAAAGTATCCGTAATTTTATAAAATTTATTCTTTGGTATTGGGGATGTTATTTCCCTTCAACTCTATTTATAATCCTCATAAATATAAATAAAATTATGAGTTTTTTTTTAAAAAAAAACTAATTCATGAGACGTCAGGTTCGCTCTTCCGGTGATCTTTCTTTATTATAGTCAAGTGGTGGAGCTACAGGACTTAAACTAGGATCCTAGCAATCTACCTCGAACTGAGATTGAAGTTCCAAAAAACAGAGTAATGCACACAAGGTGTTTGGTGCTGCGGTAAAGCGACTGCTTTTAGGTTTTTATCTTTGATTTGCTATTTTAAGAAGTAACAAAACGAGGTGGGCATGATGCCATGATCCCCACATCACACTCGAGTAGCGACAAATGCCACATCAGACGTCGCGAAACATGGTACACGACACGACACTAAAGAAAAAAAAATCCAACATTCTCCCCCCTGATCTTGTTGTCCTGTTTTCACCTCATCGACGCCGATCAACCTAGGCATCTCTTCAAACGTAGGGATTGATTTAGTGAAATGGGAGATGGAAGGACGCTGGGAAAAAAAAGAAAGAAGAAAGGAGGCAAGAAGCTAGGAGACATTGATGCGTAAATGATTATGACTTGGCAGTACTAGGCAAGATCAGAAGGGTCACTATGGCGGTGTCAAAGGATGGAGATCAGATTTAAGTAAAACTCAGTAGAAAAAAGATAGTCTTAATAAAGAAAGAGGAATATAGAGGAGGCATAACTTTTTTTTTATATACATAAATGATATAAATTGTATGAAGTATGCACTAATGTATGCCAAATTCTATTTTATAGGATTGTAGAGTCAAATAATAAGTACGGTTAAGTTTTATAGGTAGCCAAGTGAACCTACATTGTAGGATTGGTATCGGTTTTCGCTAAATCAATAAATCTTTGTTATAAAATGCTTATGAGATTTGTCAAACATCACTTTGACCAAAAGTTTAGAAAAGGAAAAAAACTATTCTAACCTTACTAAGTGTGTCAGATCTGTACTCCGGTGATGATTGTAGCCTCAGATTTTCTCCCAAGTCTAGAGGGATGGTTGCTTCGACGACCTTGAGATGTATGGTGAGGTGGTGATGGCGTTATTGAGGCCCCGCATGAGGAAGCTAATAGTGAGCAGGGTGACTTATGAGGTTCATGAGCAAATGTAGTTAGGAAAAACAACAAATCTAGTAGGGGGAGACATCGGAGATGAGGAAGGAGGACGAAGAGGGGATTCTTGCCAGTGTTGAAGAAGGGGAAATGGGGATAGGATATAGCAGAGGGTGCCAGCGCAAAAGAAAGAGGAAAGAAGAGGTAGGTAGAGGGTGGCGTGGCGTGCCTTTATTGTCTAGGTGCACGAGTGATACAATGGGCTAGTTTAGGATTACCCGTGGAAGAGGAGAAGATCACGGACCGTTTGATCAACATCAATGGCCCAAAGTTGATTGTTTTTTCTTTCTAAAATTATTTGTAGAATCAATAAATCTTTGTTCTAAAAGCTTATGGGATTTGTCAAACATTGCTTTGGACAAGAGTTAAAGAAAAAAGGGGTAAAAACTATTCTAACCTTACTAAATACGTTAGGTCTATACTCTGGTGATGATTGTAGCATCGGATCTCGTCGGGCCTAGAGGGATGGTTGCTCTGACGACCTTGAGATGCATGGTGAGGCAACAATGGCGTTGTTGAGGCCCCGCATGAGGAAACTGATAGTGAGTAGGGTCGCTTATGAAGTCTACGAGAAAAAGTAGTTATGAGACAACAACAAATCTAGTACTGGGAGATGTTGGGATGAGGAAGCAGGACCCATAGGGGATTTCTGCTAGCGTTGAAGAAAGCGAAATGGGGATAGGACATAGCGAGGGAGTCAACATGCAAGAAAGAGGAATGAAGAGGTAGGTAGAGAGTGGCGCGGCGCGCCTTTATTGTCTAGGGGCATGAGTGATACAATGAGCTACTCTAGGGTTACCCACGGAAGAGGAGAAGGTCATGGACCGTCTGATCAACATCAATGGTCCAAAATTTAATTGTTTTTTTTTCTGGAAACAAATTCATAGTTGGGTTGGCAGTCCATATATCTCCCTACAACTCAATTGATGGCCCACAGTGCAACCCAAACCAACAAACTGGTCTAAGCCCAATAAAGCATTGTTAACTAGTCTAATCTTTATAGAGCCCATAAAGTAACCATAAACATAGCCCCAATGCAACTTAGTACAATGATGGGCCCAAAATTTTCTCCTGGTGCTTCATGCAGGCTGGATCACTTGTAAGTTGTAACATAAACTAAGAGCATTTTTATGCCCTTTGGGCTTGAAGAGGTACATGGGTAACATCATATCGTTTTATCTCCCCAAGATGAAAGGCAATGACACCTTTGCTTCTGAAGGTGACAAACTCTCTACATTACGAGTGAAAAGAGAGCTTTTTCATGTAAGTTGTGACTTAGTATCCTGAACTCTCTCACTCAAAAGTAAAGATACAGTATTCTCATTGAAAGGATTTCAAATTTTTACATATAGACATTGCAATGTATATATCTAGTATTAGGCCTCCTTTGGAACACAACAAATTTTAAGGATTTTTTTTTGCAGTAACTGAAATGATACTTGTGAAAATCCTATTAAATTCCTTATGTTCCAAAGACGAACTCAGGTTAAACAATTTGCCTTTCTTTTTCATAATTTTCAGGCTATTTCTAGTTACTCGTATTAGTATGTTATAAAACCTATAGAAATATTGTTTCACCGTGATATAAAAAGATAATCCTCCGTTCCAAAATATAAATATTCAGATTCATTTTTAAAAACACGCAGAAGTCGTACTTATATTGGAACATAGATAGTAGGATTTAGTGGCCACGAAACATCACTGTTGTGACCAAGGAGAGACAGCAACAAATTAAACATGTACATTGATCAAACTATATATTTTTTTAATAGGACTATAAATTAGCATACATGCATATAGTCCTAATTGGGGTTTCTAGAAATGGTACAAAGCGGCTACATGCAGTTCATGAGTTCCAAGTCAAATTGAGCTAATTGGAAACCCTATCTACAGCTTGGATACAAAGAGATAACACACGGTATGCAAAGATATATAAATTTGCACGTTTGCCAACTCGAGACAACACGGATATTCTGGTCGGCATGGAGATAACATCATCATCAGCTGATAGCATGACAGAGCATACTAGCTTAATTAGTATGCAAGTCAATTAGCAAATGGAAGCTTCTAAAACACAGTTAAGCACACCCTTGCTTTGCTTCTAAAAAGGAAGTATTCACACACACACATTCCTTGATTATTACAGAAGCCTTGATAGATTTGACTCTATCTTGTGAGCTAAAGCTTTGAATATATTAGAAAATAATTTTCGAACTCAGCTGTAATTGTGTGTTGCCAACTGTTTGGTGTTCAAAACCGTGTGCTGTGTCAAGAGTAATAATCAATATGAAATAAAATACTCACAGATAACAAATAAAGCTTGCAAAAGAAAATGTTATAGATAAACCTATCCTAAATAGCATCAACTGTGTGTATCATGTAGGATCGTAAAGGGTCTTCCCCATTCCAGAAGCTAGCAATTAAGGTGAGGAGTTCTCCCACTTGTATATTAGGCCTCTCCCCCTTCACACATTGGTGCCCCTCAGCCCTTCGCGGCCACTTCACCGTTTCCCCATGGTTCCTCAGGTATACGAGCCCTGTAGGCCGCAGGCACTCACGGTCCATTAGGCCTTCACACACTACGTCCCTCGGGCCAGAGATATTGAATTAGCCAGACTCTGATACCAATTGTAGGATCGTAAAGGGTCTTCCCTATCCTAAAAGCTAGCCATTGAGGTGATGAGCTCCCCCACTTATATATCAGGTCCCTTGCCCTTACACAACTAATGTGGGACTATTCAACATATCATAATTCTACGATCTACTATTGAGTGGCGTATCTAGGATTTTTATATTGGTGACCCAACTTATATACCTTTTTAAAATCAATACCCTAAATATAATAAGGTTAGAAGTATAAATTATTCAAATATGCATCATATTAATAAGTTAGTTTTCTTTTTGGCAAAAATTTCTTTACACATTGTATATATGCATTTGGCTATGATATTTTGGATGGTCCTGAGACCACTGGGACCACCCTCTGGATTTGCCTATACCACTAACTTTATCAAGTTTGCGTTATACCATCGGTTTTACCTTACCTTACGTTCGCTACCACGAATTCCCGTTGCCAGTGTCAAATGGGCTTCATTAGCCTAAAATCAAACAAACGAAGGCGTTGGAGATGGTTGGCCCCTTAGTTGGAAAGACTACTGAATTCAAATTACTCATTCCATTTCGAAATGTTTGACACCGTTGACTTTTTAGCACATGTTTGACCGTTCGTCTTATTCAAAAACTTTTGTAAAATATGTAAAATTATATGCCTACATAAAAATATATTTAATAATGAATCAAATAATAGAAAAAAAATTAATAATTACTTAAATTTTTTGAATAAGACGAACGGTCAAACATGTTTAAAAAAGTCAACGGCGTCAAACATTTCGAAACGGAGGGAGTACTTTAGTAAGGATCATGTTCACTGGCCTGGTGGAAGTATTTAGGACATATCTTATCATGTTCAGACCGCGTGATATCAAGATGCATATCCTGCTTAATATAATTTAGCACCTAAAGTCTTAAATATTCAGCTTATTTAATTTCTGACCCAAAAATAGCAAACAAGTCAGTTTGCAGCAGTGAACACAAAAAAGGCACATCTGAAAAACACTCTGACCTTTTTCATGTAACAAAACAAGTATTATAAAGTCAAGAAAATTCCAGCTGCCCCCTCTTCTTATTTGACCGAATTACTCGGTTCTTTGAAGACTAAAAGTACTTCTTTTTAAGGATTATTCGATTATATATACATTTTCCAATAGGATATATAAGATACAAGCATTGAACATCGATCCAGAATATAAAATTATACCTCTATCGATCGTTAGCTGTGCACCTGTGTCTGAGAAATATGTATATACACACCTCTTGACTCCTCTGAAACCTATTATACGGTGAAATTAAAGCACCAACTAGGACAGTCGTCGCAAACCAACATTCAAGTCTATACAACAAATAAAACATATGGCAGGATAAGCGCAAGCGGCAAGCGTAATATAGTGGGTTAATTTGTGGACTCCTTAATTGCATTATGTTATTATACATATATATGTGGATGGGAGATAATTAAGAAAGAAGAAAAAAGTGAGTGTGATTTCAACTTCTCATGCAAGAACTAGCTAAGAGGGTAAATAGATAAGTTAGAGAGAGGGGGGGAATTGTTTAGTATAGCTCTACCTCCACCTCCACCTTTCTTAGAGTTGACGTTCAGCCAAACAGTTTCAACTCCACCTAAAATTGGAGTGGAGCTGGGTTGAACGCTCTCACAAAATAAACTAGAGATGTGGAGCTGGGTTTAGACTGCTCCACAACCTAACTCCTGGAGCTTAATTCAGGAGTTGGAGCTCTACCAAACAGGCGCAAAGTGTACAGCTTTAAGAGATAACCTTGTAACTAAATTATCTCAAGGTATATTGAACATTACTAATTGTTAGTAGTAGGCTCTATCATAGAACTTACTTTAAAGAAAACATGATTATAGTATATCAAGTTTGCTACCTGCGAGCAAAAACAACTTGATATGTACCCATAGAAAACGTTAAAAATGTAAGGTAATGATGTTTTTTATTAGGGATGAAAATTGATTGGATATTGTTTGATCCAATCTACCACCGAACCTGATTGGACGAGCATATATATGGTAAGAACTTTCTAAAATCCGTATGGATTCGAATGAGGATGTGGTATTTGAAGTATCCAAGCTAATGCGTTCTAACATGGTTTTGAATCTCCTGTTTTCTTTTTTAAAAGTTTCCATCATATTACTCTACTGATTTGGCTGGAACTGGTTTGTTTTATTTGGTTGCATAGATGGTCGATGATAATAATGGCAATATCAAAGAACTTTAGGCCCTATTTAGTTCCAAAAACTTTTCGCAAAAACATCACATCGAATCTTTGGATATATATATATATATGGAGCATTAAATATAGATTAAAGAAAAACTAATTGCACAGTTAGGGGGGAAATCGTGAGATGAATCTTTTGAGCCTAATTAGTCCATGATTAGCCATAAGTGCTACAGTAACTGACAAGTGCTAATGACGGCTTAATTAGGCTCAAAAGATTCGTCTCGCAGTTTCCAGGTGAGTTATGAAATTAGTTTTTTCATTCGTGTCCGAAAACCCCTTCTGACATCCGTGTGACACCTGAAAATTTTTATTTCACCAACTAAACAGGCCCTTAGCATGACAATGTGAACGCTTGTTCTCGTTGCAATGACATCATTTTTCCGCTTATTAAGTAAATTGAATTATTGCATTAGGACATAATTATTTTTACTACCTAGGCAGAGCACCATCACTATTAACGTAATTTAATATTTTATTTATTAGTATTTTTCTAAGTATAATACATTTTGCATCGAAATCTTAGATTGTTAGATACTGCTATGGATATATGACACCAATGGTAAAAGCTCAGCCGGGCACACTTGTCGTGCCATCGTCTGACGCCTCTGTCAAGTGTCAACGACAACACCTCACTGATCGAGCTCAAGGACGAAGACAGCCCATGCATGGTAAGCTTCATCATCTCTGTGATGCGGCAGTGACATGGCATCCCTTCTGGCTCTCAAGTGGTGGCCCACGCTAGCTCTAACCTCTAATAAGTAGTATTATCTTCGTTCCGAAATAAGTTTATTTTCACTCCTCTTATATATCTGAAAATAAGTTCATTTTAAAGTAATTGTTTTATTGGAGTTTGCAAAAGTAGAAAATAAATGCATTAGGAGTAGATAAAGTGATAAATAATTGCATTGAAATTTGATAAAGTAGGGGTATTCTAATCTTTTTGGTTTTGTATTGGTATGTGTGGGATGGATAAAAAGTAAACTTATTTTAGAGCGGAGGGCATACGTATGAGAATGTATCTCTAGTTTCTAAGGTAAATATCTAGCTGAACTTACATTTTGGATAGCTTTCACCAAGCTACTAATAATTAAATTCTCATAAGAATTGAAAAGGAAAAGATTAAGGGTTTGTTCATTTTTCTATCACATTCAACACTATTATTTTTTTATATTACTAAATTTTGATAGGATATATAATAAACTAAACATATCCTTGTCATTGTCACTCTACCAAAATTTGGTATTTCTGGAAGTTTCTTTTCATACGAACACTATTAAATGTTGGTAAGGCTACAAATTAAACACCAAAGTATGCCAAAATTTAGCATTGTCAAATTTTAGTAACGTTAATTTCGGCAATAAACTGAATACGCCCTAAAAACAAAAATATATAGTCAAATGAGCTAATCATTGACGCATATAGAAGTCCAACACAAACCACCTTACCATCAATCAATTTTTAATCATTTGAAAAGTAGAAGTCTTCAGCTGATGAATTCCTCATCCCCTCTTGCCTCTTGGCACTTTCACACACAACATATATATACAAACGTGCCTATATATACTAATCACAACCCCCAGTGCTCCTGCAACAGCCAGCATTTGTCCAATTGGCATTCTTAACTCCAAAAACCTGCAACCTTCTTGGAGAGCTTGACCATCATCAGCTAGTTCTCCCAAGTGCCAACCCTATCCTCTGATCACAATTCACAAAAACCCCCATGGTTGGCAGGATGCTTTCTTCCCCAGAGCCTACACTGTCAACCATGGCGATGTCGGCGGCTCACGGCGAGGACTCGCCGTACTTTGCAGGGTGGAGAGCCTATGATGAGGACCCCTATGACCCCATCACCAATCCTCAAGGTGTCATACAGATGGGCCTTGCAGAAAACCAGGTGATCTTAGTTGCTAAAATCTTAATTGTTCTTACTTCAAACTAATCGAAAACGCGTTAATGCGTTATATATATCATGTGTATCGATCGTTAAGACGCAAGAACTTTTACGTTTCCTGTGTTAGGTTTCCTTTGATCTTCTAGAGGAATACATGAGGGAGCACCCGGAGGCGTCGGATTGCGGCGCCGGGGTTCGAGAGAACGCCCTGTTCCAGGACTACCATGGCCTGAAATCATTCAGGAAGGTAAATTGATTGAGATCAAAGGCATGAAATCATGTGTTTGTGTCTTGGTTTTCTTGATCGTTGAGAATACTACATGTTGCTGAAGTTTGATGGTTGCTTGTGATGATGCATTGGGTAGGCAATGGCGAGCTTCATGGAGACGATAAGGGGAGGCAAGGCGAGGTTCGACCCGGACCGCGTCGTCCTCACCGCCGGCGCCACCGCCGCCAACGAGCTTCTCACCTTCATCCTCGCCGACCCCGGCGACGCCCTCCTCGTCCCTACCCCTTACTACCCAGGGTAATGCAAGTGTAGCTCGTGATGTACACAAGCTGTTCGATCGATCGATCGATCGATCGCCATGGCTAGCTGTAGCTTTGAGCTGTGTCGTGTCGTGTCGTGTCGTCGTCTTGACATGCGTTCATGTCGCGTTCGTGCAGGTTTGACAGGGACTTGAGGTGGAGGACCGGCGTGAACATCGTCCCGGTGAGCTGCGACAGCGCCGCCGGGTTCCAGGTCACCGCCGGCGCGCTCCGGGCCGCGTACGACGAGGCCGTGGCGGCGGGGACGCGCGTCCGCGGCGTGCTCATCACGAACCCGTCGAACCCGCTCGGCACGACGGCGGCGCGTGGCGTCCTCGAGGGCATCCTCGACTTCGTGGCGCGCCACGACATGCACCTCATCTCCGACGAGATCTACTCCGGCTCCGTGTTCGCCGCGCCGGACCTGGTCAGCGTCGCGGAGCTCGTCGACGAGCGCCGCCGCGCGCGCGGCGGCGCCGCCGACGCCGAGGACATCGCCCGGCGCGTCCACGTCGTGTACAGCCTCTCCAAGGACCTGGGCCTCCCGGGGTTCCGCGTCGGCGTGGTCTACTCCTACAACGACGCCGTGGTGGCCGCGGCGAGGCGCATGTCGAGCTTCACGCTGGTGTCGTCGCAGACGCAGCGGACGCTCGCCGCGATGCTGTCCGACGCGGCGTTCGCGGCGGCGTACGTGCGCTCCAACCGCGACCGCCTCCGGGAGCGGCACGCGCGCGCGGTGGCCGGGCTGCGGCGCGCCGGCGTGGCGTGCCTCCGAGGCGCCAACGCCGGGCTGTTCGTGTGGGTGGACATGCGCCGCCTGCTGGGCGACGGCGAGGCCACCGTCGCCGGCGAGCTGAGGCTGTGGCGGCGCGTGGTCGCCGAGGCGAAGCTGAACATCTCGCCGGGGTCGTCGTGCCATTGCCGGGAGCCGGGGTGGTTCAGGGTGTGCTTCGCCAACATGAGCTTGGAGACGCTGGACGTTGCACTCCATAGACTGGGCTGCTTCATCAAGAAATGGGAGCAAGAACAACATGAGAATTAATTTAATTAAAAAACATGCACAAGAAAAAAAAAGAGTTTATCATGGTTATTTTTTTGAGGATTGATTGATGGGGATGATGGTAACATCTCAATTTTGTTGTAATTCGTGACCTTTGTGTCCATGCAATTTTACTTTCTTTCGTCTCTATGTAATTTCTCTTGTGCTTCATGAATGTGCAAGTACATAAACATGCTCCCTCTATGGCTCCATCTTAAAATATAGCAACCTAGGTAAGGGTGTAAGTCGAAGTATTTGTATTATAAATTGGTTCGCGGGTCGGCCCGCTAGTTTGCACCCTTAAATCTAGGACCAGATGTAACTCCTTATAATACTATGAAAATAGACAGAGATGGGATCGGATGGAATATATCATAGTACTGTGAATCTAAACAAACTTATATCCCAGATTCGTAGTACTGTCTCATCCGTTTCTAGTTTGTTATATTTTACTATGGCGGGAGTAATGGAGATGAGTTATACCCACTTAATAGTTATTTTTTTTTATTTCCGTTTGTTGTGGAACTATTGTAATAATGTGATGTTGGGCTTTCTGCATTTTTATGCCATGGCCAGGTTATCCATTATCTAAAAATATATCCCACTTTATGCTGTAGCGAATGTCTATAATTTTCTAAAAGTAAAAGCCATACCCTAAAATTATTTTTATTGCCTCGTATAATTTTCTACAGCTTATCAGCCTTGCCTTTGTTACTACTAGCCATTATTTGCTTGTTTAGGGAGAGTTGACATAGCTTTGATTGAAACAAATTAAGTTGCAATTTGTCATGTTTGAAAGTAGTGCATGTGTTGATCCTTCTGCAGCTATTTAGTGGAAAGTGTGAATGGTCCTTCACTTCCTAGATGCTATACCAGACATGGATTCGTTTGAAAAATTGATATTGCACACATTTCTTTTTGTTAATGGCTATAATCACGTTGGTTAATGGCTATAAACATGTTCTCTAGGTTTTATTCAGACGAAGTATGTTTTAGATTGTTGCATTATATACTACTGCCTACAGTAAAGAAATATACTAAGTTTATTTTCTTTGGGTCTTTGAGGTGTGGCGTTCACAATAATTGTTCACTATAACAGGTTTATAAAAATCTAATAAGTGAGATTATGATAGTTCTTTTCAAGAAAAATCTGCATATATCATTTTTATTTTTTCACATTAAATACTTTAAAATTTATTGATAGCCAAATATTCAAAAGTATAACTGAAGAGAACCTAACGTCATATATTTTTCACCAGCTCCACTTACAATTAGAGATTTTAGTATTTGCATTTTTGTCAAACTTACTTTGTAGTTCGTGATGATCATTAATTCTAATGTTATAAATGTATTTTATGATGGCACCTCTCGCTAGTTGCTACCTTCGTAACTCGTAAGATTATTCAAATCTAATACTATGTTTATTTTCTTAATTTGGGTCTTTGAGGTGTGATGTTGATAATAATTGTTCATTGGAATAGGTTCATAAAAAAATCTAATAAGTGAGATTATGAGTTCTTTTCAAGACAAATCTACATATATCATTTTTATACTATGTTTATTTTCTTTGTGTCTTTGAGGTGTGACATTAACGATAATTGTTCTTTGGAATAAGTTCATAAAAAATATGATAATTGAGATTAAGACAGTTCTTTTCAAGACAAATCTACATGTACCATTTTTGTAGTTTTAAATTAAAATTTATTTATAGTCAAAGATTTAAAAGTATAACTGGAAGAAAACTAGATGTCATATTTTTCAACATGGGGAGTGCACATTTGTCAAATAATTTTCAGTTCCCCTTACAATAGAGGTTGTAGTTTCAGCATATTCGTCGAACTTACTTTGTAGTTCCTGATGATCAATTAATTCTAACGTCATAAATGTGTAGCGCACAATAATGTTGGACGATGCATATCAATATAAAACCATACAAAGTCACTATAATGCGCAAAAAAACATTTTGTATTGGCAAATCTCGCTATCTTCCTAAGAATATTAAAATATGATCCATCCATCAATTTAGGACAGAGCTTGTAGAATGCACTCTACATTGTAAGAAAAGTTCTTGACTACATTGTTCCCCAAAAAAAAACTTTTCACTTTATATAATTTTTGTTACAACTAAATTACTAAACTAAAATTCTGCAAAGTCTTGTGTGGAACTAATTCTGAAGTACATACAAAAATTGTTTTTCTTCCTCTGGGTAATACCATATATGGCTTGGTTTGATATGGTTAAGTAGAAAAAAAATATTTCCATGTAAAAGAGTCAATCACAATGGTTGGAAGTGAGCTAAAAGTCTACCAAACTAAAATGATATTGACAGTGTTGGAGGATGCTCATGCTGACCATATATTAGAATAAATTAATGTCTATGTACATGGTGGTCAATGGTCTTCTGAAAGAAGACAAATGAACTGCTACTATTCAATATTCTTGGAGCCCCAAGAAAGCCTGAAAAATCAAGGGCTGATTGGCCCTAACCAATTAACTATATATAATCTTGTGTGCATGTCAGCATTGGGAGTTAGCTAGCTTGGCATAACAAGAAGCCATTCTGTCTGCCCAACAGCCACACACATGCACCAAATCATGTTGATTCAGTTGCTTAACTTAAGATTTCTTACTCTGTGTGAAACTTTGGCAAAGGAATTAAGAAAGCAACAGAGACCAAATTTTCGTTGATTATTTGAATCATGTATATTGCACGCATCGATCATCTGAAGGATATGGATGGTTTTGGTTGGGAGAGAGGTATGAACAAATCTAAAAAGGATATTTGGAGTGTACTAGAGCCCATAATTAAGTTTGTAAAGTGTGACATAAGGTATGCATGATAATGCATACGTGTGGATGTGTATGCACTGTTGGCAAATGTGTGTGAACAGGGAGACATATCTGCTGTTCATGCATAGGTTGTGTGCTTGCATTGCAATTAATGGATATAATATAAATTAAAATGAATTAATACCAAACAGGTTCCAACTGGACCCAACACTTCTAGGAATCCAACCTGGCCATACATAATTTATTATATATTTAGAGAGAGAGAGAGAGAAAGAGAGATTTGAGTGATAAATGCAATAACATTTTCAGAGGAAATGCTAAACTGATGTAATCATAGCTCTGTTTACTTCCCTAATAATCATAGCACCGATTGTGTGCTGAAACACAGTTGGACTGAAATGATATATTTAACATATAGAAAGTAGTTACACTAATATCAATATTTTTTTGAGGGTACACTAATATCAATATTGACAGGCTTGTGCATACACGTCAAAATCCTGATCTTTTTCCCCCTTTAGCCTACCACTTTAGAATCAAAACGGTCAAATTAACCTAAAAAATATCGGTATAATTTACAATTGAAGCTGTCTACATTATTGGCCATATATAAAGTTAACCATTTTTTTCTAGAAGTACTTTCATGTTATTATAATTTTTAATATGTACAGACTAATAAGAATCTATATTTTTCACACTTAATTGATTGTATAAAAATAAAATATCAGTTAGGCAAACTTTCAGAACAAATATGAATACGTATGTATATTTGTCAACATGGGTCAAGCACTCACAACATACGCATGCTCACTCCTATGAACATCGTCTACCACTGAAAAAATAATTATCCATAAATACAAGCATTCATGATAAATCTAGGATTTGAACTCGGTTATGTTTGGTTCTACCCCAAAGAACATATACAGTTGAGCTACGCTCACTTCATGTCAATACTTCCGCTAAGGGTCTAATTGATAATTCCGTGGTTTATAATCCAAAGCTGATTTTGAACTTCAAAAAATTCCAAATCCTTTTGCATAGTTACTGTACCATAAAATGCCAGGCTTAAGTCAAATGCCATAACATATATGCATCGACGTAGCTACCCTGCTGCATGTGATCGATTGTATCATCCCAGATGCTTTAAATTTGCGAGGGTCAAAGAAGAAAACCTCCCCTCGTGGGATTGTGCTGAGGTCATGCGCGATACACGCTTGGATTATATACTTCTTTTATATGTAAGGTTAGGCCATTTGCAGTAGTGTTAACACGTTCGATTCTTTGTACTTTTTTTTTATGACTGATCACCATTCTGCACTGTCCTTTGGAATTAAGCGATCCATACATGCATATATAAGTATAGTAGGTATAGTATGAGTTCGTTAATTATGATATCTTGTATTCGAAATGCTTATATTTTAGAACAGATAAAGTATATCATTAATAGTTTCTAGTTTGACTTTGAGCACATAAATTGGAAAAGTGAGAATAAATTTTTATTATTGAAAAAAGTACTCTATCGGCCCTAGCTAAAATGTAACCTAGATTTAGCTATGTCCAGATTTACAGTTATAGCTTAAATTTTAGAATGAACGGAGTACTTTCTGAAGTTAGGTGTGTACGTACGCGTGCTTGCAAATATTTTTCTTAAGAACTATTCGCAGTGGCCTCTCCTTTCGATCATATTTTAATTTATGAAAGTGCTCCAGATGAGTTGCATCATTTATTTTAGGCTGTGTTCTTAAGTCCATGTTCCTAACCTCGCTCTCTCGTTTACCGCGTGTATATTTTTCAAACTGCTAAATGGTACGTGTTTTGCAAAAGTTTTCTATAGAAAAGTTGCTTTAAAAAATCATATTAATCCATTTTAAAGTTTTTTAAAGCTAATAGTTAATTAATCACACATTAATCTATTGCTTCGTTTTTCGTGTCACCTAAAACACAGCCTAGTCGAATTTATTGACAATTGGGTTAAGGCCGAGTTTCGTGGATTCATTCAATTCCTCCTGGCCTTGTCCACGAGAAAAACGGCCTTCGTTGTCTGACTTTCAAGGAGCAGACTTTCACCCACAGACGACATGAGAAAAACAACTTTCTAGGATCATGCTGGTCTTTAATTAGAAACACATATATCTGCTTCACACGTGGCACAACTTACATTTGACATATGTAGCCAAGAACCACTTTTTTATTTAACTAATCCATAATATCGTAACGGAATAAGTAATAAATATTGGATTCAATTAATTTGATAGAGGGTGTACTGGTTGCGATAAAGGTTATTAGTATCGGAATCCTGTTGTATTGTTTTGTTTAAAGAAGTATCGTATCGTAGTATCGGGATACTGTCAGATTTTTTTTAAGTATAATTAATACTTGTATTAATTACACATAGCCATTCTATATAAAAAATATAGTAATAATATATGTCACATAAATAAAGACATTTATCAAGAGAAACCATATTAGTTTTTTTATATATTTAACTGATTTTTTATATAAACTTGTGCATATTTATTTACTTTATTTTCAAACCATCTTATTTTAAATAATATTTTGTAGAATCTTAAGGATCATAGAACTGGGATACTATCTAAGATTTCGTAAGATCTTATGCTAATGAATAATAGGGTCGACATACTATGAAAACAAACTAGATGAATACCCCGCCGCGTTGCTACGGAAAATTAAGTTGTATAATATTTACAAACAAAATGTGATTTGATTATCAAAAATAAAACAATTTGATACAATTTTGAGCTAACAATAATTGAGATTACATGTTTTTATGAGAGAAGAAAGAAGAGACAATTTAGACCATAGATCTATCATCTATTGGGATGATGTAGCTTAATGAGAGAAGAGAGAAATAACATTAACTACACTTAGTAGGGATGAACCATATAAGTATATAGGAAAATTAGGATACTATATGGGATCGGTATCGTTTCGGTTTGGTAGTAAGATACTACCATACGGATCGGGATACTGAAAAGTGAAAACCTTGGTTGCGATTGCTTTGTTGATGTGTTTAATGTTGAAACCATAATCAACAGAGCCATGAACCACCCCTGTGACACTGAATCACTGACAGTGACATATTAAGCTATTTAATTTGAAGTAGAAGGCACGGCCCATTAATAAGTTCAGCTGTGATCCTTTATAAGAGTTGGGCCTCCAACATGAAAAATGTAACAACGAATTAGCACAACTTTATCTTTATTTTTTTTTTGCCCATGGATTTTCGTACTATCGTCCTGCGCGATTTTTGATTCCAATTCCCTCCCGTATATAGCGCGATTGTTGCGATTTTTTAACCCGATTCCCTCCACGTGTAGTGTGCATTTTTTCTGTCCGATTCCTCTTTATAGCTCCATGATTTCCTATTCCCCTTCTAGATCTGTTCAGGCCCATGTCACGTTTCCATGGTCTGTCCCTCCTCCCCTCTCGCGCGTCTGTGCACGGTTTTTGAAGAGAAACGGACTCAGACTAAAAAACTAGGGTTTCGCTTCCGACATCTATACGACATGGTTTTGCTTTGATTCTTAGAAAAACGGAAAGAGTAGAAGATAAGAATCAAAACCCCTTAGTTAATTTCATATTATCTCCAAGGACGTGGCAGGATTTTACGGAGAAAAAATGGGGGAGGCTGATACTTGTAGTGCCTTGCTGGGCCGGATGCGTACTTGCGGGCTGAGGCGGAGGGGATGAGAAGGGAGAAAAGTGGGCCAGCTAGGCTACGGGCCGAGGAAGGAAACGGGCTGAAAATGGCCCAGAAAGAAAGGAGGGTTTTTATTTAGATTTTTTAAAATAAATACTGAAATGATAGCAACTGAGCTCTAAGAAAATTCCAGAGAGTGTAATTAATCATGGAAAACTTCATAAAAATTAAATCCAGCCATATCCTTTTATTTTCACACTTACTTTACTTTTAAATTAATTTAAACACCTACCTACTTAAAAAATATCAATTATTCCAGGAAATTTGTATGTATGTTAATTACATAATGTAAATATTTCTCAACTTCTCCTTAATTTTCTCATCTTTTCTTCCCGTTGCAACGCACGGGTATTTTTTTTAAGTAATTAATTAAGCATAAAATGTCCCAAAAATGTGATCGTTTCAGCTCTGTAGGCCATCTGGTTTTCCCCTTGATTGTTTTGGTCCACTCATTTGAATTGAGTGCATGCTCATTAATTCTAACAGCAGCAAATAAATAGAGGGTAGATTAGTAATGTTGGTAATTTACACTATAAGCTAAGTTGTCTCATAATATGGAACATCTTTCTGGGATGGAGGAAGTATTAGCTTAAAAAAAAACTTTTTCTATATAAACTTTTTGCAAAGAAAACAAACCGCTTAACAGTTCGGAAAACATACATGTGAAAAGTAAAATTTGGGAAAGGCAACAAAAGAGCACACCTTTTAGAGGGCTTCAGCGCAGTCTAACATCCCTAACAAAATTAAAAAGAGGACAAAAATATTTAAATAAAAAAATAGTCAATTTTAATCTGAAAATAGAAAGCGATGATTTTAAAAGTAAACAGTAAAATCAAGTACTACGAATACCTTTTGTGATACTACCTTCTCCTAACAGAGGGAATTCCTCTCAGCAAAGAGCAAACATGAGTAATGATGTACTGAACAAACAGCCTAAAAGGCTTTCGAGTGAATGTGGATACTTCATAGCCATAACAAGTAACCTACTCTCTCCGTTCCAAAATATAAAAAATTTTAGAGGATGTGGTATTTTATAGGACTATGAATCTGGCCTACTCTCTCCGTCCCAAAATATAAGAGATTTTAGAGGATGTGGTATTTTATAGGACTATGAATCTGGACATGTATGAAATGTCACATCCTCCAAAATCCCTTATATTATAGGATGGAGTGAGTACGAAGGAATAGAAAACTCGAGTGCCTGCTAGCAGCAGCACAAAATCACTGTTAGACTGGAAAGTAATAACATAGCAGATACATCTGGCATGGACATTTTGACTGTCCAAAGATCTCTGAACTAGAAGCAACCCTACTTAACTGGACAGCTGAACACAACATGAGTTTTACAGGAAAGATGAGGCAGCTGGCTAGCATTTAGGAACACAACACATCTGTATGTACACAAGTCAGTCAATGAAACAACAGTCACCTGAAGCATAAATCTTATGGTATGGGCTCAAGAATGGAAAGAATGGGCATGAAAGGCAAGGGGAGAAGCAAGCCTCGGTTTTAGATCTGCTTAACCCTGTCGGAAAAAAAAATATTCATGCCATCTAAAGTACAACAGCCAGCCGGTATTTACCCTTCTCAGCACAATTGCTTCGCAATCTCCTCTTCGATAATGTGCGCGGCCTGTTGCCTGGAGCTATCATCCAAATTGTTGCTGTTCGTCATCAAACTCCGCAGGACTTGCAATTCATCCCGGTTAGCCCTTTGGATGAGACCCCTCAGGGCAAGGAGAGGTGGACCCTGAGATAACATATGCCGATTGTTTGGATCCTCAATGAGAACATGGGGCCTTGATCTCCAGTACTCTGTACAGATGTGATCTCTGTCCCGCGCCCAAATTGCCTGTTTAAGTTGCAGTGTCAAAGATTGGCTCCAACAAATCAACTTGACAGACCAAAGCTACAGGTAATCAACTACATGCTTAATTAACAAGCTTAGCATGTAAGCCTGCAGCAGGGCTAGTTACTCCAGTCATTCATGCCATCTTAAGGAATCTTAAAAGAGATGAAATACTTCGAAATACTAATATATATTTCCTTTCACTTATAAGTGCATAAATCACTATTATAAAAAGGGCCTCGCAATGCCAATACAGGCCTTAGAGATCAATCATGAGGATACCAGACATTAATGTCTCACCTGAACTATTGGTGGTGATAATAAACCAAACATTTCAAGACCATCAACTGATCCTGGAGGCTGCAATGTAGGAAGATTTGATTTTCCCATATTAAGTTGCCTCCTTATTTCCATGTTCAGCCTTTCACGGACCATGTTCCAACACTTGGTTGGAGATAAGTTAATGAAAACTTCACCTGGACAGTTCTCTAATTTTACCTGCAAAAATGAAATGAGCAATAATATGTACAGATGCTAAGACAGATACATAAAGACAGCTGAGAAACTTAAATTTACCATAAACAGAGGCCCCTGCATCCCAGCATCCAGTATTTCCGATATGTAGTATGCCATTTGGATTGGATCCACAATGCTGAAGTATTTCACTCTGCTTCTAAACCCTGCATTTACAAAGAGAGTGTAACATTTGTGAGTACAGCCATTCAGAAAACAACAGCAGAATTACTATAGAGTATAACTACCATAGATCAAAGACAGCAAAATTCATGGATGCAAAGACATAACACTAAGCTCCCGGATAACAGAAATTCTTTGACCTAAACACTAAATTTATTGAGGTACTGCCAATGATCTGTCAAAATGCAAACCTTTCGGGAAGATTGCTTGGCTTGAAGACCACAGCCTCCCTGATAGCACAACACCAATTTCGAGAGGTTCAACAGAGCACTTGAAACGATGCACAACATTGGCTATGCGAGGACCCTTCTGTGCACCTCCATTCCTGCTGTGAATTTCTAGTGCAGGCTGTGCCGTGACAGTTGGATGTCCCCTAGCTCTAGCTTCCACACCTGGTAGAGATTCAGATGTTCTTTGAAGACGCCCATCATTTGGTTGCTGATTACTGAAACTTGGAGGTCCAGGATGGGCACTGCCTTGAGTAAAACCCCCATACAGATTTTTCATGGCAGGGGGATCTAAAGAAGGCTTCAAAGCAGAGGTACTAGGTGATGATGCTTCATGAGAAGCACTTTGTGTCCATGGGCCAGTTCTGACAAACTGCTGACTTGACGCACTATGGACCTGGCTGCTATCTTTCAGAGTCACTACTGAGGCATTAGTCCCTGGTGTTACTAATACCTGATCCTTGGATGAATGACACGGAGTTGCATTATAGTCAGATGCAATCAACCTGCAAGAATTGTTTGAGCTTTCCAAACTGGACTTCATGTTGGTTCCATCATGAATCATTGCCGGTGATCTGTTATGATGCTCACCAAGCAATGATCTACTGTCTCCAGTTCGAGAGGAAGCTTGTATACAACTTTTAGATGCCACCAAGCCTTGCACAATTTTCATGGATACACTTGAAGTACTAATGGGCCTTGTTGCAACGTTGGAAGAAAATGATGGGCTAGAAGAAACTGGCAAGCCTGGTGCAGATCCTTTATGGCCTCCAAGTCCTCCATTATATTGCAATCCGTTACTATCAGAATTTGTTGTACATGACAACTCATTCCTTACACATGGCTCCTTCAATGGTGAAATATTCTCTGATTTCCTTTGCTCGACAGAAGGGCACACATTATTTGTCTGTGGGCTAGCTATCTTCATGATCTTATTTCCTTCATCTTTCTGTTCATTGGAAGTAGAAGAAGAAACCAAGGATACTGCTGATGCCTGTGACATGTAAGACCTTCTTGGACCATCAGTTAATCTGCGAACAGTCTTGGAATCTTGGACCTTTTCTCGTTTGACACATGAACTCAAACTTAATCCAAGATCAGAGACGCCCCATCTATGAATGGCACTTAATTTCCCCCCTAAAGCATCAGCTAAGATATTTAGCTCATTGACATCATAGCGGAATAGGAAAAACCTTTTGTCCCAGTCACATGAGCAAAGTTGCTTTGCATGTACAAGGCAAGCATATTTCTCTGGGCAGCATGGACAGCCAGAAGCAGAAAGATGTAAATCATAGTAGCACAAGGCACATTCCCTATCAATGGAATCGAATTCAGCATCCATTTTCCTTGATTGAGCTGGAACACCTAGAGTTTTCCTTTGCACCAACTCTGTCTCAATTCGTGCCTAAACAGAGAATTTTAAGTATGAGCTTCCATTGAGTTCTTAAACAAACAATACAACACATATTTTAATTGGACTTTACCTTAAGAGCCTTGAATATAGTGCTATCAGCTCCGCATATACTCTTCCACCTCATATTATCAGCAGTATTCCTCTTGAGGAATAGGATATCCCACTGAGCTCTTATTGCTTCTCTTGCAGCCCCCAACAACAACTTATCATGAGAAATGGTTATTTTCCTAGCTTGCTCACGATAAAGCTCTACAGCATTATGTCCAATCGGTAACCAATCAATAGGAGCCACATTAACAGCTTCGGCACAATTGAAGCCACAATTGAAACCAGCATGGTACGCCCTTGGGAATGTCAAGACAAACTCGCCCTCATGCTGAACACAACGGTATACATGTACTCCTTCAGATTTCAGCAGCGATGGTGAAAACTGGGTAACCTGCGGTAGAGGTTGTCATAACAAAACACATAAAAATGCTGCTCATACACATCATAGCAAACACAACCCATATATAAGTGCTCACATCATTTTTTTTAAAAATCTTATGTCTAAATTCAAAGAATAGAACATAATGCTTTAGACACTCAGACAAACCATTTCTTTACTACCACATGAATAGTTAATGTGTTGGTGCTGTTTTACACATGGTGAGCTCTTGCTGAGTCTTGCGTTATAAAGATGTCTAAAGTTAGATGATTTAGTAGTGATTGGAAAATAGAGAGAATTGAAAAGTTATTGGTTGCTGGCATACTACCATAACAATAATGCAGTAGGAAAATGATGTTACAAAAATATACCTTCTTTTGTACAGAAGGTTAGAAAATTATCTATTTCTTATAACTTCCAAAAATGCATTTCATGTGGCATGATTATAAGTAGCTCCCAGTATTCACTGCTATCACAGAGTCTATCGAGCATTAGTTGTTACTAGATACAAAAGGCTTCCTTCCTGGGCACAAACAGAAAACTGCCAATCAAGATACTCACAAGGTTGTGTAGCAAATCAGGTTGCTCCTCAAATAATTCAGGTAGATGTTTCCTCATTGCAGATTCCAAATTCACAGCATCCTTTCCTGGAACTCCATACCACAACTTTGGGGCACCCCAATGCATGTAGTTTAGTGAGTATAAATGATGGTCTTCAACATGCTGTTAGTAGACATAACACAATTGAGTGTAACAAATCTCAGGTTGGATAGTTTCGGGAAAAAAAAGAATCAAGAAGCACAACTAGAACAGAAAGTCATGACAAGCAATATCACAAGCATCTTACCCAGCAGAATGATGAAAAACACATGCCAACATACACCCAAGGCACTAGAACACCAGAAATGTCACCGCCCTCGAAAGAAAGAACTGAACCTTGTAGTCTAGGCAAGTTATTTAGATTCCAACCAGATTGTGCATATTTATCCTCAGCATCAGATTTTGTCTCAGGAGATAATTTTGGAAAACCACTGCCGAAAGTTCCAGTCTCCAGATCAGCACCATATATCACCTACATAATATATCACATCTTCTGATAAGTACGGAAAAACAACAGTAGTTGTACGGAAACTATCCTACATGATACAACATTTATGCAGTTACAGCAATACAGTTAGGCCTAAAATGTCTCATCTACAAATGATATGGCTATGTAAAAGTAGCACTAATTTTTGGAGGTCATGATAGCATATACAGCAAGGCAATCCATAACTTATTTAGAAACTCTCCAGCAGGGCCATAATCCGAGACCAGAGACCACATATCCAAAAATTAGGAATTGATAAAATTTTCAAAGTTCAACTGAGGTATAAATTGCAAGCACGTCAGTATAATTTGTTGAGAGTCAACAGAAGCTCAGTACCTCTATCTCTTCTGTGGGAACCTCAACGATGCGCCAGTACTCACCTTCAATATCTTCCACTGATGGTACTGAATCCATCGATGTATCTTTCCTAAAGTACTGCTTACTGAAATCATCTGCATATTTCTGAAATGTCTGTAACGTGAACTCTGGCCCAGGTTCAAATCCAAATCTCTCTGGACTTTGCTGCATCCCTGTCTGAGTGTGAGCAGTGGCACTGTTCTCCTCTGACTCTGCAAGCTTTCTCCTCTTCATCATTCCACCTCTTCTGCCCTTTTTTGATGATTTACGGTTTTGGAGCTTGTCAACCTTTTGTACCCGAGTAGAGAATTTTGATCCTTCCCATATGCTTTTATCTTTAAGAAGGCATGGAGGCTTCCAAGAAGATGGTGGGACAATACGGCAAATACCATATGGTTCCGCCATTGGCCGTATACTCTCAATGTATTTTAGAGTGTCTTCAAATTCCTGATCCATGAGACAATATCACAAATCTGGGGATATGACGATAAATACAGAAAGATCACAGTACTAAATACAATACAGTACAACAGTTAGCAAGGGGAAAGGTACCTCCTCTGTTGGATAGAAAACAGGAGCCTCATCAAGAACAGGCCTGCGTGCACCAGCTGGATTCCATTTTGCGATAACCTGAATAATATGTAGTCAAATAAGCAAGCAAGGCAACAGTATCATCAAGGAAGTAGCATAGCAATTTGGCAATAGATTTGAAACCTTTTGACAGTCACTGCATTCTGCACATCCTCGAAGTACTCCTTTCGGTAGCTGTTGTCTGCGTCTCGTTGAACTTACATCCTGTGTCCAAAGAATAGAGCAATACCATGGCAAGCATTAACATCATGTATAAATGTCAGGTAAATGTTGACAAAAGAGTGGCGGCTTTCATGAGTACCAACCTTTTCCACTATTTCGACATCAGAATCTTCATCCGATATATGTTCAAAGCGGCTATAGTCTATTGGGGGTCTGTTACGCAGTGATTTTCTGCATGTCTGGGTTCCGGAAGTGCTGCAAGGTGTATCACTCCGAGACACAGCCGCACTGGGTTGGCATTCTTCGCTGTCTTTTCTAATGCTTTGCAATGCTTGAACAGGAGTAGAATGAGTAACAGCAGGTTTGGCATCATTGTGGATTCCCCATAACGGAAGGGTAGCAAAAGGTCCAAATCCAGGTGGAATAGAGGGTTCAGTGTCCTCGTTGAGCGTGGTGGTAACCCCCATCATTACTGCATCAGAAGAAAAATTAGTTTCACCATGATAGCTAACAAATTTTGCTTATGGTTCAATCTGTCAAGTTCATTGCATTTCACGGCTTAGGCCATGATCCTGATCCACAACCTTGAGAAAAAAAATCACAACACATCTTGAAGAAATGGATCTACCATTGGAATCAACTCACAACGAAATCGTTCCAAAGCAGGCAGGCACATCAGGGGCACAGATCTAAACATGAGACATGGGGGGTTCAGCTCAGTTCAACCCCCCAATTTTTTTTTACTATTTTATTATTTTTTGCTATTAGTATTATCAAGGTTAAGGGCAAATTAAGAGGAAAAAGGGCTTCCAGTTCCAGGTCTCTCTACAACTACAAATTCGTGGCAAAAAGCGCGTGGGTAGGGGATGCTCACCGGGATAGATGCGATGCGGGGCGGCGGGAGAAGCAGCAGAAGCGGCGGCGGCGGCGGCGGCGGCGAGCCTAACCCCCCTCTGCTCCGGTCGCCGTCGCCGGGGAGGGATGGATGGGGGGTCGGCGGTGGCGCAGGCGAGCGAGCTGACGACGAGGGGAAATTTTGCTCTCCTCTTGTTGGGCACAAGCACAGGCACAGGCACAGGCACAGGCACAGACGCACAGTTTACGCAGGGACACGCTGGGAATATCAGATATGGGGTTATCTTTTCCTAACTTTTTCCCCTTTTTTTTGATATTTTGTTTTGTTTTGTTTTTGAACTTATTATATTTTTTGAATGAAATGTTCCTACCATTTCGAAATATATGGATTTCTAGGGTTCAAATTTTGTACCGTCATATGAACATTTTTGCACGGGTTTATATGAGTAATATTATTTTAACAATAGTTTTGGAGCCAGTCGGATGTTTAGAGATGGAATCTAAGCAAATCGAAGTTCGAAAATTAACAAGTAAAGTGACTTAAAAAGGAGTCTCTTGAACTGATCTTGGTATTTATTAAACAACCTAAAAATCTTTATACTACCTCCGTTTCATATTATAAGACTTTCTAGCATTGCACATATTTCATGCATATGTTAATGAATCTAGACATATATATATATTTATATATATATATATGCCTAGATTCATTAACAAATATATAAATGTGAGCGATGCTAGAAAGTCTTATAACCTGAAACGGATGGAGTATTTTAGAATAGAGGAAGTAAATAATTTTTTATCTAGTTCCTATATAGTGAACATTGAAAAATTTTGTTATATGATACAAAATCGTAGTATAAATATGCATAATTTAAATTGTAAGATAGTTGAAACTTACAGTATAACATTTGATTTTTTTTCGAAAATATATGTTACCATAAATATAAATCGTTCTGGTAAATATTAGTTACTTATGCAAATGGACGACCATAAAAAAAATCTAATTAAATTGTTTTTTATTCGATTCAAACCGAGACATTTGTCAACTAAACTTTGAGAGAAGATAATAAAGAGAGGAAGTTAGTCACCAACCCCGCATATGAGGGAATAAATTGCTCACATGTATTATATGATATACTTCCATTCACCAATAATTTATTAACACTATTAAAATTTTATAATTTTAATTACAAATTTATCCATATTCTTCCACTATTTCATTTTCTTCTTATCTTGTTTTTCTTTTATCTATTTTCAATGATGATATTTCTACTCCTAACCGCTAAACCTTTGTGGCTGAACATTGCCGGCTAGAAGTTTGTATACTCATGCTCTATAATATATACTATTCATAAAAATAACTTGATTTTTTTAAATGAATTAATTATATTATTTATATTCACGCTCCTGAGGCGGACTGATCCCATCACTTCAAACTGTTCCATTCAATTGATAGTTCTGTGTTCAACTCATCATCCTCACCACCATCCTTAACCTGGAGTAGCAACAATTTTCCGCAGGTCAGGCCAGGCCAAGCCAAAGCCAATCTGACCTAAGCTCTAGCTTGACAGTGGCCACCTCCTCCTATAACATGTCAGGTCAGGAAGCTGCACCAGTGGTAGTAGTACAGGCAGGCGGAGTTGGGCAGAAGAGTGGATTTTGGTTTGGAGATAGTGGGTTGCAAAGAAAATCCCGTGGGTTGGGTTAGATGGTTTCTTTTTCCTTAAAATCAGAAGTTGTTTAAAATCGTTATAATCACAACATATTTTTAGCTATGAATATAAAAATTAATTTAGACGCAGAGAGGTAGTATTTAAATAGCGATGATATAAATCGCTATTAAGATAAATGAATTACCGTATAAAGGTACCAATATAAAATAACATGTAACTTTGTAGCTATATTAGTGGCTTGAAAATGAAATAGCAACTTAAATAATAATAATTTGTCAAGCGAAATAACGACCATAATTTTATATAAAAGTATGAAGTTCCAAATTAGTAGCTTGAACCTATATTGTTGTATCGACTCTTATTGATTAATTGTTTAAATATTGATACCTATGCCAAAAGTAAGATTTAAATATCAACTATCTAATAAATTAATATAACATTTTGTGCATACATTAATGCACCACTTGTCTTTTTTTTAATTTGATACGATGTCTTATAGATTTATTTATTGTTTATCGTACTAAAACAGTTGTATCTGATATATACTCCTACATGATTAATCTAAAGCAAATTTTTACCAATACAAGAATATAGCGTCGTACCTGCTTTATACATCGCCATTGCTCTTAAGCCACCTACTAGTATTTAGTACTCATACTGTCCTAAACTACAGTCACTTTCACCTATCTATTATTTTTTCACATATTTTCTCATTACAACCAATCAATCATCTTTTATTTAATTTTACGTGGTTTCTTAATCCTCAACCTATAATTTTTTAAAAAAAAATAAAACAAAGAGAGTAGTAGTATTAAGTATAGTACTGTAGTACCCTAGGTTAGAGTAAGTATTATAAGTTCTTAATCACTACCTAAGATAGCATATAAACTCATGTGAAACTATTTTTAGCTTACATGAATAAAACTAGAGGTTAGCGTGGTAAATAAAACAGAGTAAGCTTGGAGGAATAAAAAAGGGTTTGGATGGTGTTTTGATCCATGTACTAGTCCCTATTATATCGGATGTTTGACACTAATTAGAAGTATTAAATGTAGACTAACAATAAAACTAATTACATAAATGAGAGCTAATTCGCGAGACAATTTTTTTAAGCCTAATTAATTTATAATTAGTATATGTTTACTGTAGCATCACATGGCTAATCATCGGTTCGTCTCGCGAATTAGTTTAGGGTTGTTAAATGAATTTTATTATTAATTTACGTTTAATACTTCTAATTATGCGGGAGAGAATAAAATAGTCCTGGATCAAACACCGCATTAGTCCTTGGACCAAAACCTTGGGCGTGTTTGTCCTTTGGTTGGGGGTTATTTTAGTCGCTAGGCACATTGATTAGTCGGTGGCGCAAGCGGATCACAGAGAATAACAATTAAGGGAGATAGATGGCAGGTAGAGGAAGGAGTAAAAGAGTGGCATGGTGGGGCCCACCGGTCAGCTTTCATGCTCTGCTCTGTTGAAAGGGCAAAAAAGTGTGACGTGCAAGTATAGCAAAAGTATAGCAAATGATCCTTCCCTGTGAATCCCAGGAATATAGCATCAGTTTATTTTATTTTCTTTTAGAGCCATAAACAGTAGGACACTGCAGCCTTGTTCAGTATACTTGAGTGATCTTTCTGAAAAATGTTATGCGGAATTTTATTTGTGCTTATATATTCTTATTACATCGTTTGATTTTTTTTACTAGTTAAATTTGGTTTATAGAAATATAGTAGTGTTATCAAAATATATTCAATGTTAGATTTAATAAAACTAATTTAATATTTTAGATGATGCTATTTTTTTTTTAAAAAAAGCTTGATTAAACTTAAAGTTTGACTAAACAAAGTCAAATGTAATATGAAATGAAGGGAGTAATTAAAAAAAGCGCGGGTGAGAAAATAAAGGAAAAATGAAATTGTTCTTTTTACGGGGAAAATGGAAATGTCGGATACGGTAGGTGTCGTAGTTATCCACCGGCCTCCGTCAGCCATGCTGCTTGCTTGCACGATAAGCTTTCCAACCGCGTTGAACTGGTTCGTGGGCCCACATCAGTAGTGAAATTTTGGGCCTAATTTGGGCTTAGATATACACTAGTCCAACACAAAGGCCCATATACAGCTAATTGAAGCCCACTAAAATCAGATCTGTTCGGCATCTGGTAATGGGCTAAGAATTTGTAGTGAAATTCAGGCCCATCAATGGAGACAGGCTTCTGGGGAATTGGGTTACCCAAACAAGGTTTGGTTCTACTCCTATGTGTATAGCTAGCTAAACCACATCTGACATGAAAAGTGATGAAAGTTAAAATGGTTATATGGTTGCATAATTAGTTGAAAAAGTCAAAGCAAAAAAAGTGTGTTCATCTCATAAAGTATAGCCAGATTGGTTTGGTGTACAGGTCATTACTAAATTTTAGTAGGGTAGTTTTAATGAGAACAGATGTAGTTAAGTGAAAATAAGCGATTAAAAAAAAAGAGCAATGCCTAAATCAGGGTAGAGTCAATTTTTTTTATGGCGTGTTTTGTTTCCAACCCTCAAAAATTTTGTCTGACATATTTTAGTTTGGTAGCAAATCAAACTATATATGGCGCTATAAACTGCCCTGTTAGGGTATGTACAATGGTGTTTAATAGCGGGTTCTTTTCGTTGTCATGGAAGTAAATTTGATTACGTGGAGGAAAGAGAGGGAAGAAATGAGAAACATCGTTGCTACGCATGACAACGGCTCAGAGTCAACTCTTAGCATTTATTAACGGAAAGTTTGTTGCATGAGGGTATAGAAAAGGAAAGAAGTATAATAAAAAAAATATTTAGTGCATTAATGGTATATAAATCTTATTGTCTCTACTATGGTAGGAGGATAGTCTCTAGTGACATTAATTAATACAGAGAGCTCATATTAGACTCTATATTTGTACATGCCCTTACTAGTTGTATAATCACATATGTTATTATTGGATTTTTTAAGCGGATACATATGGTAATACAGCTAAAGGTTTGAATATCACACACTTAATTAGTTAAAACCACTACCAAAGTACCGAACTGATATAAGTTGTCCGTTCATAATACTCCCTCTGTTTTTTTTTAATTTTCTTAATAGATAACACTGGTGACTTTTATAAACACGTTTGATAATTTATAAGATATAAATCATACTTAAAAGTACTTAAACAACTTACAACGCGAAGTGAGAGTAGCTCTACTGGTTAGGTTCTTTATGGTGGAACCAGCCCACCCGAGTTTAGATGTTCGCATTTACGGCTAATTATTTTTTCAGTGGTAGATGACGTACCCAGCAATAGCGATGCGTCCGTGATAACTTCGTCAATCTTAAGATATGGTGGTTCAGTCTTTCGGAAGTACTCATAGGGGTAGGTGTGCATATGTATGTTCATATGGGTGACTGCACGCGCGCTTTGAGTATCTGCTTTTGTACCGTGTTTCTAAAAAAACAGCTTACAACAAAATAAAATGATAATTACATAAGTTTTTAAATAAAACGAAACATCTATCTAAAAGTTGAAAGTGTTATCTATTAAAACATGGAGGTAGGATGAATG